TGCTTCGTTCAACATAACTTAAACCTAGCAGGCCTGTGCTTTCTGACGAAGCCAACTTTGTTTTTGTGTACCTACCTAGTAGGTATGAATAGAAAAACTACATTTGCCCATTCAATTCAATTCCAATGTTAACCCGTAACCGGTACTGTACGACTTTCAGGTCATAAACGGTACACAGTGGTCTGAGAGACACCTTCATTTTAAAATTATTATTTTTATTAATTTTTTTTTTTGGGGCTTTGGAAATACTAGAAACTATATATAAAGTTAGAATATCACCAAAAATAATATTTAAATAAAAGACACATATATATATATATATTATATAATTATTTTAAATTATTATAATATATATATATATATATATATATATATAACAAATATATTTGTTCAAATTTGTCTTTTATTTAAATATTATTTTTGGTGATATAGGTTTTAATTAAAACATCTAGGTACAAAAAGTGCAGTAGTGCAAACTTTGTAATTAAAATATAAAAAATATTAAACAAAACAAAACCAAACGATCTTTATTTCAAAGAAAATACCTTAAAAAATAACATTAACAAAAAATATTCACACATAGGTATCTATTTTAAACAACAAAAATAACTGCTTCAAACTATGCCTAATTTTTACAATTCTTGCATAATTTGTACGTACATGCTAAGCACACAGGATTTTTACAAGTTAGGCAAATGTATTGAGTTTTGCGTTTAAGTCTTTTTGGACATAAATAACAAAGTTTTCTTATTTGTAGACGTTCCTCTGTATCATTTAATAGCCTTTCTTGGATTTCTCCTGCTTCTTCTCCTATAATGCGTTTTATTCCCAATTTAATTTCCTGTGGTATTCTGTAATTTTCCAATCTTCTTTTCATGTGAGGCAATACAAGTTCCTTGGCTAACATTTTTAAAAACATTCCTGTGGATATTTTAGGCGCATTTTGATAAGATGTATAAAGAACATAAGCATTCGAAGTACTGATATCTACTAATTGAAAAAATATAGCCATGGGCCATCTTCGCGTTTTTCTGCTACTACTGTAGTTAGAACATTTTTCATCTAGGGTATCCACCCCTCCCTTTGTTTTATTATAATAAGCTATTATCTCAGGTTTACCCGTATCATGCGTAATAAGCTCGATTGACGTAAACCAATTATCAGCAGTTACATTTTTATTGGTACCGTAGAGAGGTTGACACAAACGTAAGACTGATTGCGTTGGTTTATTATATTTTTTGTCTGATGCTGGGAGACCTTCTCCATCTGAATCACGCCCTGTATAAATATACCCATCATAAAAGTAATGGTTACGAGCGTCAGTTAAACACTGTACTTTTATACCGTACTTTGCAGGTTTATTGGGTATATACATCTTGAATTTACATCTGCCTCTAAAAGCAATGAACATTTCATCAACACAAGTTGATACACCTAATGAGTATGCTGCTTGACAGTTTTGAACAAATTTATTGAAAACATTTGAAATTGGAGCAGCAGAATCATTTTTTTTGCGATCTTCGCGATCCACAGGATTATCAAAACGAAGACAAATTAACAAAAATGCAAAACGTTTCTGGCTCATTACACACCTAAATACGTCTCGTCCGGTACCATCTGTAGCAAAAATGGTTTCAATATTTTCATGGTTCGACTTGAAGACAGATGTGTATATTAGCAGACCCAAGAATGCCTTCATTTCGACTATATCTATATTTTTAAGCCATGTTTGATGATTCTTACATTTTTGTCTTTTATTTTCAATTTTTATGTTGGTCCATCTAACTATTTCCAGTAAAATTTCATCTTGAAATAAAAGTTCCCAAGCAGCTGAAGCTGTATAAGAATTCTGTAGGCACTGTTTAGCTTGAGCACGCAATCCCGGTAACTGCAGTGGTTGGGCACTCCAATTGAATTTATTTTTTCCGTAATAACTTTTTTTTTGTTTTTCAAATTCTTCAATTTCTTCACTATTTGACTCTACACAACTGTTTTCTTTAGAATCATCACAGTCAAGTTCTGAATCGCTGCTGTGATTATCTTCAACGACATAATCACTACTACAATCATCTACATCACTAATATCGCTATCGATTTCATTAAACCACTGCATTAAAGTTTCCTCAAAGCCCTTCTCATCAATTCGGACACGTTTAGAAGGCCCTGGTTGCGAATCCATAACGAAATAATAATTTTAAAAAAAGTAACGTAAACGGTACGCAGTGGTCTACTAGACACCTCAACACTTTTAACTCGTAATAATTTGGCCGTTTAACGATTCACCCTGTTCAAAGTCTGTGAGCATACTGAAAAATGCTTAACTTAAAAGTAGAGGTGGGCTGTTCGATACGATACGTATCCAAGTGATACGAACGGGATATCGTTAGAATCGATATAAATTTATGTATCGAATACATTGTATCGATTATTTAGCTAATTATGAAGTCCTTAAAATGCCATATATGAAAATTTGATTTTGCGGTTATACCGTATTTTTTATAACCGAAATTTTGGAAGTTTGTTCGATCAAGGATGACAGTTGGTATTGCAGCTGACTTTTAAGTGGCTATCACAAAACTAGTTTTGACTTTGGTTTGGTACTTTTTTTCACAATCCACACAACAAATGTTGTGTGGATTGTCCTTTTTTATGGTTTGGTTGGTTTTGCAACTGACGTTTAAGTTATTTAAAGTTTATATTGTAAACAATTGCGAAACAAATTGCAAATTTTCATATACCTATATTTTTTTTCGTTACCTTCCTAATAATTAAATTCATTTAATAAAAGTTTTTATTTTTTCTTCCATTTTTTTTTAAATCTAACCGTATCGTATCGAAATTGTATCGATATAAGCGATATTTTGAAAATTATATCGATATCGTATCGATACGGCTTCTGTATCGAACAGCCCACCTCTACTTAAAAGTAGTGGAAGGCTTCCACTCAAAGAACACTTCCACTGGAAGCGACAGAGTTTAAAAACAAAAGGTGGGGGTGCGGCAGTACGCGGCAAAGTACTCGAGTACATTTTTGCAATCTTAAATGTATCAAGTACAAGTATAAGTACATTCAAATTAAAGTACTCAGGACTGAGTACCGAGTACACTGAAAGTACTTGGAGTACAGTATTTGAGTACTTGTACTCGAGTACCGCACAGCTCTGCTAAGCTAGCTAAACACATTTTTCTGAAAAAAACGTAAAAAAAATTAAAAAGTGCACTGCCTGTCTTAAATGTAAGTAAACAAAAATCTAAACATCTATAAAAATCCAACCAACAGTCAAAAAATATTTTGATCTTCTTTTTCCTGAAAGCGGGTCACCCGCTGCGGGTGTTTCTTAAAAAGCTGATGATGGGAAAATGTATTTATGAAGAAAACGGAGAAAAACTACTCACTTTCCAAGGAAAGTATGACGCCAATGCGATTTGGATAACTTCAAGGCGAAATAAGTTTGCATTTTGTTTTAATTTGCTTACACTTGCTCACCTATCGTCACCTACTGGATTACATAACTGCAATACCTAATTTATTCCATTGATAAGAAAGAATTAAAACGTGTAGGTACCTATAGTAAGGAAAGGTCAGTGACGTTCGGCATAAAAATATTCACTCACAAATCATCAACAAAACATAATAATGCTACTATACTTACACACTTTTAAATAGTTCATGGAGTAGATAAAATTAAATTGGCCGGGTTATTTTTAGAACAAATATACTATTTATAGGTTCGATCATTGGGCGATATACACAGGCGGGTTATTTTTAGATTCGCGAGGAATGTTTATTAAATGCTGCACAATTAAAGGTAAACAAACGTTTGATTTATTATTTTATTAACAGGTGGTTGGTTGTTTTATTTTGCATTTGCAAACGAAAGAAAGATATATTTTATAAGTTAAATAGGGGGGTCCTAGCGTAATATAAAAAGCGAAGTGAGAGGGTTGGGCACAATGAAATCTAAACCCGACCAACGTTAAGTTACCTCGCAAAAGGGTCGTCACAAAATAAGGGTCTCCACTATTTTGCTCTAACTTACTTACAATTCTATTTTATCCAGCCTGCCCACAGTTTTTAATTTTAGCTAGAAAACCAATTAAAATTTGTAGATTTAACAGCTAGGTATAATTGTGGAAAATAATGGCTATTTTATAATGAGACTACTATAAGTAAAAAATGAAGACAGCCTAAAACGACCTGACTTATAAAAATTGAATAAAGAAAGTTGTTGGGATAGAGAGAGCTGTTGCGACTCGCAACTTGATCGTATTACGGAGCATAATTTCGCTGATTACACACAGCGACGGCTGTGGAAACGGCGGCAGCAAAGCGGCGTTGAAGGCGGCCGTGACAAGCAACCTAGCAACCGACGGCAGAGAGAGGCAGGCGTTGGAAACAAATGCCAAACGAGCGGTCGCTGGCTCGCCAATTGTTCGAGCGATGTTGTCAAAAGTCATCCACTTTCCCGGGTTTTACAATTACCCAGCCAATTTGAGTTGTTTCAAGTATTATTAAGTATTAGTTGGGTATTTATTTTTATTAGATTTTAAATGTTTTAAGGGAAAATTAAAAAAAAAAAGATAGGTGGAGTAGTAGAGAGGGTAAGAAAAATCAATATATTCTCCATGAAAGATTAATAACTCGGCTGAAGGAAATTCGATAAAATATCAAACTCACGTATAAAATTTCAGAATACAAATCGTTTTTATTTAAGATATTTAAGATTACAAGGCTTACAAAATATATGCGGATACGTCAGAGGTCATAAACATAATGAATCATGTCGATGAAGAAAAATTTACCGTTACCTTTAGTCGTTTGTCATGATATATTAGAGAGTGCCGCTCCTCTTTACTTATGGTATCTTACTTTTAGTATCGCTTAGCTAATTATTATTTACCAATGAGAGCAAAAAACGACGGCGACAATTTACAGGTGGTTTTCGTTAATTTCAGATTGGATTATAAATAAAAACAGACAGCAGCGTCGATAGCGATGGGTCGACTTGGCAACGCAGCTTGGCTTGATGCGAGCGCCACCCGGCGGTTTCGAGCGAAAGCACGCAGTGCACGGCACGCCACGATCAAACAGCAGTTGGAGAGAGTTGGTGTGTGCTGTCTGGTGTTTTAATAGTTGCGTTGAAATAATTGAGGTTTTTTCCATCGCCAGTAGTTATTAAGACTGTTCGAGTTATGGCCACGGCTATGTTTTTCTCCGAGGGGACGTGCTCGCAGTACGAGCAAGTGCTGAAGCTGTATCCGCAAGCTTTGAAGCTGAAAGCGGACAGACGTCCAAAAAAACCGGAGGAACTGATAAAACTGGACGATTGGTGAGTTGATTAATGAATTAAGCAACCGGCGAGTGGTCGCAGCCGGCTGCGACTGCGGTCGCTGGATTAGCTTACGTTAACTTGGCACCCCCGCGACGGGTGTCTTGGATCTGTGCTCCGATCCGCCGCCGCGGATACATACGTAGGGTCATTAAAATCATGCCGTCACGTGATTATCGATGACAACTTGGACACACTTCACACGCTCGCAGACACTGAAACATACCACTCTCTCGATTTTCCCTCGAGAACAAAAACATAACGATGTTGCCTGCGAGGCGTCATATCATGGCGAACCTGATGTTCTGCTTCGCGAATTACCACCGAAACCTTGATAATTCTCAAAGAAACCTCTCAAATTTAACGAAAGAATACATTGATATAGATTGTTGATGGAATGTTTCACCGTAAAATCGAAATTTAACGTGTAAATTACAACACGAAAGAGGACGGCAAAACGCTTTCAAAATGGTTGCTTGGTCAAACAAAGCCAACTAAAAATCGTTGTAAAAAGCGTGCGAAAGCGCGGTTTTTTGGCCGAATTTCGCCGCAATATCGCATGGAAAACGATTATAAGTTGTTTATTAGTCGAATCGCGCGTTTTTCCACTTTAAATTCGATTCATCTTCGATGTGCAAGTACAATAGTGACGACGAGATAGAGTGGGGATATGCTCGGCATTTCGAATTATGTTCAATAATTCGCTATTTTCAACGCGGTCTCGCATTTTATTTATTATTGTTTAGTTGTTTGCGCAAACAACGTGTGTTCGAGTCGAGATCGGGCGAGTTTAACCCCTTATTTAACACCTGTTTGTCGGTCGTTGGAAAATTCCCACTTAGCAAGTTAATCTTGTTTGCCGTCGTTCGCGTTCGTCCGAACTTCGGTCGATGTACAATTTTGTTCTGTTTTTTAATTTTGCAGATATTTACAGTAGACTGGGCCAAAAAAATCGAATATTTTTTTTTGTAAAGTATATCGAAAATATTGTTTAGGGTGACAAAAAAAATTATGGTGAAAGTTTGAGTCCATAATATTAATATTAAGAGGTCTATCATCGCAATTTTAGATTTTTTTTTCCTGGGCGAGTTTTTGTCTCAGATATCCCACCAAACCATTGAGTTTAACTAAATTGACTTAAGAATATTTTTTGAAGAAAATTGAATGCTCTACAAAAAAGGTTTGATTGAAATTTCCCGTCAGATGAACCGTTTTCTTACTATCATGCCTTAAAAATTGGTATAGTTTTACAATTTGATTTTTTAACTTTGGAATTTTGTAATTCATGTAAAAATCAGTCCCCAGAAAAAAACCGATGAATATTCTTATGGGAAATCAAATGCTTTACAAAAAAAGTCTTCTAACATTTTTGGCTAAATTCACTCCATCAAAAGTTATTCAAGGTTAAATTTGACAAGAATTTCGTTTTGACTTCAACTTTAACCTTGAATAACTTTTGATGGAGTGAATTTAGCCAAAAATGTTAAGAGGCTTTTTTGTAAAGCATTTGATTTCACATAACAATATTTATCGGTTTTTTATGGGTACTGATTTTTACATGATTTTAAAATTCCAAAGTTAAAAGATCAAAATGTAAAACTATACCAATGTTTAGGGCATGATTTTAAGGAAACGGTTCATCTGACGAAAAATTTCATTTAACCTTTTTTGTAGAGCATTTAATTTTCTTAAAAAATATTCCCAAGTCAATTTTGTTAAACTCAATGGTTTGGGAGTTCTGAGACAAAAACATGATGAGGAAAAAAAAATTAAAATTGCGATGATAGACCTCTTAATATTAATATTATGGACTCAAACTTTCACAAACCATATTTTCGATATAGGTACTTTAAAAAAAAATAGTTGATTTTTTTGGCCCAGTCTAATTAACAGTGTAAATTTTACACCCCAATTAGGTGATTCCTCCTCATTATTAACCGCTTTTAATGTAATGTAATCTAATACTTTTGAGAAACACTTTTTATTAAAAATGTTACAAAACAATAAATGATTTTATGAAAACTGACATGTTACAAAATGAATTTGTTATTAATGCTGACACGTTCTAATTTAAAAATAGTTGTGTAGTAATATTAATAAATATAATAGTTTTAAGTTATGTACTGGATCTATTTATTACCTTCAATAGGCGGAAATTCTATTTCTTTAAGCCTCATTCAGAACCTCGTAATTAGTGGAAAAAATTAGTGGTTTCAATTATAAGTACTTATAATTAACACAAAACGATCATTCACAATGCGCAAAATTAACATCTAAAATTAAGGGAATTTGCTAAAGGATTGTCAATTTCTCTTAACCTGACATAAACAATATTAATTATATTAAAATAATATTTTGTACAACCATTACAATAATATTTATATAACCTTACCTTCACTGGAAAATCTTCAAACTTTTTGTTTTTGACATAAAATATCCGCGCACATGCGCAAAGCCGCTTTCCAATAGAGGTGGGCCGGTTTGCGATTTTTCAAGAGCTGCGATGCAATGCGACTGCTCCGGCCGGAACACTGTGACCAGTGTTGCCGGATGTCTTTCATGAAAATCCCCGGTCAAAAATTACAAAATACCCGATTTTACCCGCAAGAGTAAAAAAATACTTACCTTATCTTATATATATATATTTATATATATATACAGGGTGTTATGAAATGGTGTACCACATTGGAGAGGAGGTTATTTTAAGTATATAAAAAATTACAATTTTTTTCCGAGTAGTTTTTAAATTATAAGGGTTTAAAAATTCCATTCAATTTTCTTTATTTTAATTTTTTAAGGATATATGTTTTTATAAAAGGATTAAACACAATTTTCTAATCAAGTTTAAAAAATAAGTTTAAATTTATTAATATTACCAAAGTTATGATGATTTAAAGTTTGGGTTTTCTGACAGGAACTGCTAAAAAACATCATGTTAACTTAAAATGGCTGTAGATGCTTTGTTCCATAACAACCGTTTTAGATGTCTCTTAAATGGGCTTGAAACGTACAAGCGTTGCCAAATTTTTTAAACTTAAATGCTTAATAACTCGAAAACTACTGGTCGGATTTTTTTTTGCATTTTTTTTATGCTTAAAATAACCTCCTCTACAGCATGGTATGGAATAGGTGCGCCATTTCAGGGCACGTGTCGCGGCTTCTTTATAAGTAGTCTAAAAAAATGCGGGCGGCACAACTACAAAGGTAGCGGTATTTTTAATAACTGCAGAGCTAAAAAATATATTTTTTTAATAAATTATATAAATAAATATTATTTTCTTAATAAAATAAAATTATTAAAAAATATATTTTTCAGCTCTGCTTGCAAAAATAAATTAATTAAATATTTTTACCGAAATTTGGTAAATACCCGCTTTTACCCGCTTAAATATTTTACCCGCAAGCATGACGAAAATACCCGATTTTCGGGTAAAATACCCGCAAACGGCAACACTGACTGTGACAAAAAGCAGCGATTTTTCGAAGCAATGCGATTTGCGATGCTCCAGAGCAGTTATGTTTGAGCAGTGCCACGGTAAAAGCAAAACACTGGCGAAAGTGCGAACGGCGAAGCAACTAGAGATAAGCGATATTTCACGAACTGTGATTTTTTCACTGATATTTAAAAATCACGAATAACGACTGCTACTTACATCTATTAATTAGCGTGATCTGTGATTTTTCACTTAGCGATATTTTACGAATTGTGTTTTTTCACTGATATTAAAAAGTATTAAATAACAATAAACCGTGAGTTGCTATTTATCAAAATAATTTTTTTCACTGATATTAAAAAGCATTAAATAACGATAAAACCGTAAATTGCTATTTAACATAGATTTTCGGCCGCAGGCAAACATAGAAAGAAAAAATTTGAAATAGTTTTTTTAAACGCCCGTTTAAATAAGATTTTAAATGCCCGTAAGTATTAGGACAGCATAAAGTCGAATAGGTCTGACTGCTTTTCCGTGGTACCGTACCAACTGTTTAAACCTAAAAACTATAAACATTTAAAAGCAAACCTAAGTTTAAAAAGTTTTTTGTACGAGTTATCTACCAATAAGTTCAATCACATATTGATAAATACATGTGGAACAATTCCCCACACGGTCGCTGCTGAAGAGAGCAACAGCGACGGCCTGGTATAATTAAAATTTCGGAGCAATTTAAATTTTAAATTGCTCCGAAATGTCGCTGCGATTTTTACTGCCGCGGAGCAGTTTGCGATTGCGACGCCACCGGAGCAGTGACAAAGTAGCAGTTTGCGAAATCGCAACACACCTCTACTTTCCAATTATAATCAGGGACCCGGACCGAAATGAAATATCGGTTCCGGTACGGTTTTGGTTCACCCTATTTTCGTTTTAATGGTTCCGATTCCGGTTTTGGTTTCGTGGAGTTATAACGGTTCGGTTCTTTTCGGTTTTAAGCGGTTCCAGTGAGGTTATTTGTTTTACGTAATTTTAATCTATAACCTCACATATATATATATGTTATATAATGTTATTAGAATGAAAGCAAATAAAGGTTTCGGTTCCGGTCCAACAGATTTTATCAAAAGCGAAAACGGTTCCGGTTCGGGTTTAGGTTCGGAAAAAAAAACCGGTTCCGTTCCGGTTTTCGGTTTTTTTCGGTTTCGGTCCGGGTCCCTGATTATAATTAGTGGTAAAAGTTGGAAGTTTGCTAACTTTTTCCACTAATTTTTTGGTTGTGAACAACACTGTGTATATTCATATAGACAAACTTTTACGTTAATTGAAACCACTAATTTAATCCACTAATTACGAGGTTCTGAATGAGGCTTTACACTTGTATCTGGTTGTTAAATAACTAAACAAATAAAATTGTTTTAGGTATCAAAATGAGTTGCCTAAAAAGATCAAGTCTCGCGGAAAAGACGCGCACATGATCCACGAAGAATTGGTTCAAACAATGAAGTGGAAACAAGTCCGAGGCAAGTACTACCCGCAACTGAACTACCTGGTGAAAGTGAACACGCCTCGCGCCGTGATGGCGGAAACGAAGAAGGCGTTCAAGAAGCTGCCGAACCTGGAGCAGGCCATCACCGCCCTGTCGAATCTGAAGGGGGTGGGCACCACGATGGCGTCGGCGCTGTTGGCGGCCGCCGACCCCGCCAGCGCCCCCTTCATGGCCGACGAGTGCCTCATGGCCATCCCGGACATCGAGGGCATCGACTACACCACCAAGGAGTACCTAAAGTTCGCCCAGCACATCTGCCTGGTGGCCGAGAGGCTCAACAAGGAGAGCCAGCTGAACAAAAAGCCCGAGGCTGTGGTGTGGTCCGCGCACAAGGTGGAACTGGCCCTGTGGACGCACTACATCCTGAGCGACCTCAAACCCTCTCTGCTCTCTCGTAAGTTGCTCGCCTCGCTCGAGATTGACGTTTTTATGACGTCATAAATGCTCTATTTTGGAAATAGGATTATCCAAAGCCTTGCCACTCGCAAATTTCATGAAAAGTTAAATTTATAAACATATAAAAATCTACTTAATTCCAAAAAATTAGAGAGATCAAAAAATTATGAAAACTAGTGAAAAATAATAAAAAGAAATTGAAAATAAAATAAAATAAATAACAAAAAATGTTAGTCAATCTTGAAAAAAGAAAGTATCTAATTTAGTTTCAAATAAAATTTTCAGGGTTTGTTCCCACTATTTTTGGAGGAAAAATGTCAAAAGTGTAAAATTTTGAAAAATACTTTATTTTTAAATCCCATCTTTTCAATTGATTAATTAAAAATTTCGTTTAAACCAACGAAGTCACAAAATTAACAAATTGGCGCCCAACTTTTTTTAAACTATATCTTTGACGGTTTTTTAGCGTTTTTGTTGAAATTTTTAAAAATATGCATAAAAAAGCGTTTTATCTTGTTATATTTGAAGTAAAGATATCAAAATTGTAAAAATTTTAAAAATACTTTTTTTACAATTTTTGCAATTGGGATTTAATTAATTAAATAATAATTTCAGTTAAACCAACAAAGTCGCAAATTTAACAAATTGGCGCCCAACAATTTTTTTAAATCGTATATTCGACAATTTTTTAGTTTTTCTGGTGAAATTTATAAAAAAAAATATAAAAAAGTGTATCATTTTTCCTACTGTTTTTGGAGCTAAAATGTCAAAATTGTAGAATTTTAATAAATTCTTTTATTTTTAAATCAAATTTTCTACAATTGTTTATATTTTTTGATAAAATTTTAAGGGTTTGTAGGTAAAAAGTCATCTTTCTAATTAATTAATAAAAAAATTCGTGTAAACCAAAAGTCTCAAAATTTGCAAATTGGCGCCCAACTATGCCTAGCCACTCACAAATTTCATGAATTTATAAACATTTAAAAAATTTACTTAATTTCAAAAAATATGTACAAATCAAAAATTCATAAAAAAACATTAGAAACTAGTAAAAAGTAATAAAAAGAGAATTTGAACATAAATAATATTCATAAAAAAATATAATTTATTATTTAATATTAATAACGTAGGTAAATAATAAAAACGACTTAAAAATTTTACGAAATATTAAAAATCGTAGACTGTCATAGTAAAATTATGGAAAATATTTATTTTTTGTACATAAACTGACTTACTACTTTATATTATTGTTATAATAGTTAGTTAAATACCTACATAATGCTAGTGAAAAATATAAGAAATTTCGTAAACTAGCTTTTGACTGAAAACATTATTTGAAATTTCCTAAATCATCTAAATCACATTTACTTTTGTTAAAATATGTTTTTAATTATTAAAAACATATTTTAACAAGAGTAAATGTGATTTAAATGATTTAGGAAATTTCAAATAACGTTTTCCGCTGAAATCTAATTTACGAAATTTCTCATATTTTTTACTATACTTTGACAGACACATAACCTGAAAAGCCTTAAATGCCAAATTTTTAAAAGACTGCGTTCCGTACGTGGTCACGTGGTGGGACTTTGAGGTGTGGAGCATAGTACCTATTTTACTAATTATTTTTTGTGTTTCCATTGGAAACTTTCCAAAGACAAGGTTAGGTCTATAAATGAGAAAATATAATTGTTTTTACGTCCACAGACATTTGTCCGTTGGCCAACGGCAACTCGATCAGCAGCGTGGTGCTGAACTCCAACGGCGACAGCCTGGACACGGCCGGCACTTCCGACGAGAGCAACCAAGGCGTGCCGACCGGCCGCGGCCTGAACGGCAACAGCAACAAAACGAGTTCCGGCGTGGACGTGGCCGCCCTGGACGAGGACACCACCACCTCCTTCACCACCGACAACAGCCCGCCGCCGTCCGCCCTCCTGCTGCAAAACGACGAGACCAACGACTCCCTAGTCTCGGCAGACAGGTAATTGTTTAATTTACACATTTTAAACGTTGTTATCTTCTAAAGCCTGGTTCTAACAGAAAAGTAATTTAATTTAAGATGTAATTTAATTTAACTTAAAAGTTAAAAACCCAACAATCCTTTGTAACGTTCATACAGTGATGTAATTTAAAACTTAATTTAATAGTTGGCCAACTTTTATCTTTTAAATTAAACTACGTTGTTTCAAGGTTATTTCGCATTATCTAACCTATTTTGGGAGAATCTATCCTATTTTGTGTAAACGGTTTTAATAATAAGACAAATATTTCGATTGTAATTACCAAAGTAAGCCATATATATCTAAAACTTTAAGTTTTAGATACATTAAGTAAGCACTCTCTAAAATATTGTTTTTAATTTTAAACACTATTAAATTACGTTACTTTTTGTATGAACGCAAGTAAATTAAATTACTTTTAAAGTTAAATTAAATTATATTACGTTATTTCTCTGTTAGAACCCAGCTTAAGTTGAACCATTTATTGCTGCTTATCTTCGCCGCAAATTAATTTTATTTAATTTATTAAAAATCTCCTTTAAATCGCTTTATAAATATATAAGTACAAATTTGACAAGTTGGCGCCCAACTATTTTAATAGTTTTTTGGTGAATTTTATAAAAAATATATCTAAAAAAGTGACATCTTTTCAATGTGTTTTTGGAGTAAAATTGTCAAAAGTGTAAAATTCTGAAAAATAATTTTTTGACAATTTTTTAGATTTTTTTTATGAAATTTTCAGGGTTGGAAAAAAGTCATCTTTTCAATGGGGTTTAATTAATTAATTACAAATTTCGTTTCGCAAATTTAACAAGTTGGCACCCAAATATTTTTTTAAATCATACGAGGTGTGTTCAGAGAAAATAACGGGAATTGTTAAATTTCGGAGGGTCTGGTTGTCATAAAATTTTCTTTATTATGTTGGTATACATGCCCCCAAAGAATGATAAATACTTAAGCTGTTTTCATTGTTTACTTTGTCTGTGGCAGCCGCTAAGGTTAGACGTGTTTTATGAGCTCGGCGATTTTTCGTTCGTTAAAAGAAATGGATCAAAGAATTTGTATCCAATTTTGCTTAAAAAATGAAATAAATTTTGTGAAATGTTGACAAAGGCCTATAGTGAGCTGGCACATGTGCATAATATCCAATGGGGACTATTTTGAAGGCGACAACATTAATCTAGACGAATAAATAAATATTTGTTTCAAAAAAACAAAATTCCCGATATTTTCTGAACACACCTCGTATCTTTGAAATTTTTTTTCTAGAAAAATTTACAAAAAAATATATATAAAAAGGTGTGTCATCTTTCCAATGATGTTTACCTACTTTTTAGAGCAAAAATGCCCAAAGTGTAGAATTTTGAAGAAATAATTTATTTTTAAATCACATTTTCTACAATTGAATAGGTAAGATCAAGAACAGTACAAGTCCAAAATTTAAATTGTTTACAAGTTATTTTATAAAATCATTTTTTAGAGAATATTTTAACTATTTTATAACCATATTTTGTACAATACATTCTTACAAAAATGCATTTTAAACTATAAAAATAATTTTATAAAATAATTTGTCAAAATTTTAAACTTGTAGTGTTCTTGAACTCACTCATTCAATTATTGTTCAGATTTTTTGATAACATTTTTATGGTTTGTAGACAAAAATTCGTCTTTTCATTGGGGTTTTAATTGATTAATTAAAAAATTTGTTTAAGCCAACTAAGTCACAAATTTAACAAATTCTCGCCAAACTATTTTTTAAATCGTTGTATATTCGCCATTTTTGTAGTTTTTTTTGGTAAAATCGAATGTTCCCACTGTTTTTGTAGTAAAAATGTCAGAAGTGTAAAATTTAAAAAAATACTTTTTTTTACCATTTTTAAGATTTTTTGTATAAAATTTTCAGGGTTTATAAAAAAAGTCATTTTTTCAATAGGCTTAAAAATTTCGTTTAAACAATTCTCAAACTTTACAGATTGGCGCCCAACTATTTTTTTAAATCGTATCTTCGACAATTTCTTGTTTTTTTTTGGTGAAATTTATAAAAAAAATATATAGAAAAGTGTCATCTTTCCAAATTTTCCCACTGTTTTTGGAATAAAAATGTCAAGTGTAAAATTGTGAAAAATACTTTTTTTATAGGTTTATAGGAAAAAAGTAATCTTTTTCGTTAATTAATTAATAATTTTGTTTAAACCAACAAAGTCGCAAATTTAACAAATTGGCGCCCAACTATTTTTTTAAATTGTTTTATTTTCGACAATTTTTTAGCTTTTCCAATGATGTATTCCCACTGTTTTTGGAGCAAAAATGTCAAAATTGTAGAATTTTGCAAATAACCTTATTTTTAAATCCGATCTTTTATATTTTTTATGAAATTTTCAGGGTTTATAATAAAAATGTCATTGAATTAATTAATTAAAAATTTCGTTTAAACCAACAAAGTCGCAAATTTAACAAATTGGCGCCCAAATATTTTTTTAAATCGTTGTTCTTCGACAATTTTTTGGTTTTTATGTTGAAATTTATAAAAAAATATATATAAAAAATACCCTATTTTTTACAATTGTTTAGATTTTTTGATAAAATTTTAAGGGTTTGTAGATAAAAAGTCATCTTTTTAATGTGGTTATAATTAATTCATTAAAAATTTCATTAAAACCAACGGAATCACAAATTTTACAAATTGGCGCCCAACTATTTTTTTAAATCGTATCTCACAATTATTAAGTTATTTTTTTTTTAATTTGTAGGGATTTTATAAAAAGTGCCTTCTTAGCAATAGTTTTAACATGTCACAACATGACAATTTTAATAAACTATAAATGCAAAACACCTGACAAAATAAACTGCCCTCTAGCGCTGCATTATGTAATTTTTGATTAATTATCACAAAAACATTTTACAAAATTTTTCTCCATTATTTAGCACCACAAAGGATTCCGTGGGAGAGGATTCCAACAGCTTAGGCGGCGTTCCCACGTTCACCAACACGACCACTTTAAAGCGGCCGCTCGAAAGCGACGAAAACTCGGACGCGGCCGCGAAAAAACTGAAAGACAACGTGGGCGACAAGTGACAAACGCTCCACTACTTTTAACTTTAATTTCTCCTTATACATATTATTATTAATAATATTATATCGATTACACACTTCATTATTTCATACTTTTTTAACTTTAATTATTTTTTAACCATGTTGTAAACACACTAGAGACACAAACAAACACCGTTCAGTTTGGTTTTGCAACTGTTTCAGTTTTTGCGACAGTTGCAAAACCATTGTACATACATAATTATTATTATTATTATTATGTTGTTGTGTGATGCTGTCTGTTTAATTAGAATAAAATCGAACTTTTCACTCGCCTCAATTTACTTTTCGCCGCATTACGTTGAAAATTCTCGAACACTAAAATGTTACAATCGCACTGCCAATGAAACAAACAAACAAACAAAAGAAGAGAATCGCTAGGCAACCATGTAATAACAACTGCTAGTGATGACGTGTCAAAGGTAAATTGATGCGAGCAGGTTTGAATCGACGCGTGTTAAAAACCGTTAAATAAATAGGGAAAAGAGGAGGACCTTTACCATAAAAATATTTTTATTAAACTAGATTTAACAATTAATTATATAGAAATGTATACCTACCGCTTTGTTGTGATTTGATAAATAGGTATTTCCGAAATACACACTCTTATAATAATTATAATGAAGATAGAAAAAACTGACTGATAAAAACATTTCGTCAATTTTTCGTTGTAGGTAAATTTGAAGAATCCTAATTAATGCTTATTTATCAAACAACATTGTTACCTACCAGTGAGATAAACGTCGTTTTTTCTTTTGTTTCAAAAAACACAATGTAAAAATTCGCTGTTTTGTCATTTTGTTGCTGTTTATTATTTTTATTTTTAGTCATATTTTTTTTGATACTGTTTCTTAATTGATTAACACTTATTACCAATGTAGGATAGATTAAGTAATTTATTTCTTTGTTTTATTGTATTCTCTTCTCCTTCTTCAATCTAAACCATTTTTTAGGCAGTCTCTTTATTATTATTGTTTTTATTATTATGTGGTACATTCCAATTTTTCTTTTTTATTATCGAAAATAAAAAACGGGGAATTTTTGCACTTAATTTATGTGTACATATAGTCTTTGTGGCAAGCAATTTTTTGCAAAGATATAACGACTTAAATTGTTTTGGGCTTTGCGAAATCGTCTGTAATGTAACGGAGTACAAAGAAAAAAAACGATTTTGTCAAAGTTCCCAACAAGCAAATTATTATTATTATTGGAACTAATTAATAGCAAAACTACTCCATTTTTAATATGATAAAAATATTTATATATAAAATATATATAGAGACAACAAATAACTGAATGCCTTTTATGAATAAATAATACTAGTAGTTCATACGTATACATACACTTTTACAGAAAAACAAAAACAAATAGTTAGCAACGTTAATTTAAATTATATTATAATGAATTATATGGATATATGAATAGTATGGTGTTATTTTTTTATCAGATTTTGGATGTCTTTTGTCAAAATATTTGTTATAATTAAATTTTTATTTTTGCCCCTTTTAATCGCTCTTAAATCGCCGCTTTTCCTAACAAGTACTTACTTATTAGAATTGTATTAATTTTCCATTTAATCAAAAGAGATTCATAATCTGAAACGTGAAAAATATCAGTTGTAGAAGATGAGTTTGAGGTTTTTGTAGGATATTTTCATAAATATAAATATTTCACGGCAACTAAACCATTTTATTTTGCTTATATAGCAATTAAAACTCCTATTTTCTTTACCAACTCCTTTTAATCCAATATCCAGGTACAAAAATAGTTATTTTTGATTCAAGCAACAAGCAGCAAATGCACATACAAATTTGCTAAAATATATTTATCAAATAGTGTGATGTAATGAAAAATACAAAATATAATGCAACATCCTTAATCAACTTCATTAACCTAGCCATAAAATTAAAATAGTGCCCCAAATAACTATTCCCCCGTACACCAGCAAACATAACCATCATCTGTATGTTTGATATGCTTGGAGGTGGCGTGAAAAAAGCAAAAACAACTTCGTAGACTAGTAAGGGTGTAAACATTTTGTTCAAACACAATTCTTTTGCAGTAACCGCGTTTAAAAAATGCAATAAAATACAATACGTTACAGCCATACAAAGAATAACATGGACCCTAAAATTTATTAGATAGTGCGCAAAGTCGGGTTTCTCCAAATCTTCAGTCTCTTGTTTTGTGGATTTTTCTTTGCATTGTGAGTTATTTAAACTGATTTCCACATTATTCTCAAATGGTGCACTGAAAGCGTCCTTTAAAGTATTTACGTTATTCTTTAAACTTAAACCTACAATAAACACACCACAATTATAAACAATTTAACAACTTTCTGCAATAATTTTACCATCGATGCTAATTTCAGACTTTTCTTCAACCCCTAAAATTTTATTCAAACGGTTATCGGAATTTTCCAGTATTCTACGACGTCTTGCTTCCCTTCTAGCAGCCACATCCCCCATATTTCAGTTTATTTTTCACGTTTTAATCCGCAAAATATACAAATACAAGATCATGTTCAATTTGACAATAATTTTGACAGATGGAAGGGCGCCACCTACCTACAATATGGAATACTAATTTTGCAGAAATCTGCATTAATTGAAGCGCCATCTATAGTTTCCGGTTTAAATAAATTTACAGATTTCTGTAATAGTTGCTAGATTAGGCGATAGATGACAAAACTTTCAACAACTTAACCTCAAAAAAAGTGTTTGAAATGTTTTCGCGGTTGGTGCTAATTTAGCATGGTTTTGATGGGATTTTTACGGATAAAAAGCATTTTCGATGTAGTCTATAGAACGTATTCCACAAAAATGACGCGTTTTCTTAACGTCGCAGAGAAAAACGATGCCGCCAAAAATATAGCTGCTATTTTAAGTAGAGGTAATTCTAATAGGGTAAGTGCATTACTAACACCCATTATTTGTATTTTAGTTGGATTTTTCGTTGCAGAGAGAAGGTTTATCGCCCTACAACAAAATCTACGAGTTCGAGGGCAATGTTTTCGGCCAGCAAGCTCATATGGTTATGACATCCGTTTCGGGGCACTTATTGAATTACGCTTTCACTTCTACATACAAAAATTGGCAGGGGTGCAACCCTGTGGTGCTTTTCGAGGCGCCTGTGGTCAAAATATGCCTCCCTGATTACGAGAAGATTAAGGTGAGTTTTTTTTAATTTAACAACTATTTTGCTGAATTTGTTTGTTAGAAAACTTTGGAGAGAGAAATCCGGTCGTGCCAGGGCCTTATAATTTGGACGGATTGCGATCGAGAAGGGGAGAACATAGGTTTTGAGGTCATAAAAGTTTGTAGTGACATTAAGCCCAATTTGAGAATTTACAGAGCAAAATTTTCCGAGATTACTGGTCCTTCAGTCTTCAGAGCCTTAAGCAACTTGTGTCAACCAGATAAGAATGTGAGTGATGCAGTGGATGTTAGACAAGAGCTGGATCTCAGAACAGGTAAATTAAATTTGATAAAATGATTTTACAAAGGTTTTTTTTAATTTGTTATGATTTTAACAATATTTTTTTATTATTTCATTTATTATTATTTCCAAATACTTTACATTATAACATTTCAATTAGCAATATTTTGTTTTTATTCAATAATTTAAGATTATAGAAATTTTGTTCCTGTTTCAATCTTTTTTTATTTCTTGAATTTTAATGTTTATTTTTATTTTTTTAATAGTTCTTTTTAAGGTTTTTTAGTATTTTTTTTGCATTTATAATTAAAAACAATTGAGGCCCATGGAATAAAAGTGCATCTGCCCAGTTAAGCAAAACTGCCTTATCTTTATGTAGGTATTTAAATAATTTATTTAGGAGCTCTTTCACAAAAAAAATACCAAACAATTTTGTTACATTTTTATCAAGATTTATAAGATTTCAATTAGCAAGATTTTGTTTTTATTCAATAATTTAAGTTTATAGAAATTTTGTTCCTTTTTCAATATTTTTTTATTTCTTGAATTTTAATATATTTTTTAGTTTTTTTTTTTAATTTTTTTTCAGTTTTTTAAGGTTTTTAAGTATTTTTTTTGCATTTATAATTTTAAAAAATTGAGGTCCTTGGAATAAAAGGGGTATAAGTGCATCTGCCCAGTTAAGCAAAACTGCCTTATCTTTATGTAGGTATTTAAATAATTTTTTTAAGAGCTGCTTTCACAAAAAAAAATCCCAAACATTTTTTTTTACAGTTTTATCAAGATTTATAAGATTTCAATTAGCAATATATTGTTTTTATTAAATAATTTAAGATTATAGAACTTTTGTTCCTTTTTCAATATTTTTTGATTTCTTGAATTTTAATATATTTTTTGTTTTTTTTTCAGTTCTTTTTAAGGTTTTTTAGTATTTTTTTGCATTTATAATTGAAAACAATAATTGAAATAAAAGGGGTATAAGTGCATCTACCCAGTTAAGCAAAACTGCCTTATCTTTATGTATTTAAATATTTTTTTAAGAGCTCTTTCACAAAAAAAATCCCAAACAATTTTTTTACATTTTTATCAAGATTTATAAGATTTCAATTAGCAATATTTTGTTTTTATTCAATAATTTAAGATTATAGAAATTTTATTCTTTTTTCAATATTTTTTATTTCTTGAATTTTAATGTTTATTTTTAGTTTTTTTTCAGTTCTTTTTAAGGTTTTTTAGTATTTTTTTTTGCATTTATAATTAAAAACAATAATTGTCCCTTGGAATAAAAGGGGTATAAGTGCATCTGCCCAGTTAAGCAAAACTGCCTTATCTTTATGTATTTGAATAATTTTTTAGGAGCTGCTTTCACAAAAAAAAATCCCAAATAATTTTTTTTACATTTTTATAAAGATTTATAAGATTTCAATTAGCAAGATTTTGTTTTTGTTCAATAATTTAAGATTATATAAATTTTGTTCTTTTTCCAATATTTTTTATTTATTGAATTTTATTATAAGTATATATTTTTTAAATCATATTTTTATTTTTTTTTAAGTTTTTTTTGCATTTATAATTAAAAAATAATGGGGTAAAATTGTAGCTGCCCTGTTAAGCAAAAATGCCTTATCTTTATGTATTTAAATATTTTTTTTAGGAGCTGCTTTCACAAGGTTGCAAACCTTAAGGTTGCAAAAAGTGTTTCCGCAAAAACTTAGCGACAAATTGATTAGCTATGGGTCATGTCAGTTTCCTACTCTTGGTTTTGTGGTGGACAGATATCAGCAAATCGAAAAATTTATACCTGAACCTTTTTGGAAAATAAAAAGTAGATTTGTCTCACAATAAATTGTTGTTTTGGCGTGAACGTTTTTTTATTTTCCAGTGAACCATCGCGTGAAGGATTTAACGACGGAATTTACATGGAAAAGAGACAGGTTGTTCGATAAAAACAGCGTGGAAGCGATTTTGGATATTTGCAAGGAAAATCCGCAGGCGAAAGTCGAAAGTGTCGAGAGCAAGCAGAAAAGCAAATGGCGACCTGTGCCTTTAGACACTGTGGTAAGAATTAATATCAAAATGATACACACAAATAGGGTAGTTAAATTTTTTCTGACCTATACTTTTTATGGTTTTATTCAAGGCGTTTTGTAATTTTAAACATTTCTGTGAAATCGGAATTTCAATTGAGTTTACCGTTTTCGAGATATTTACAAAAAAAAAATCTCCTAATTACGTCACTAGGCTATTGACAACGTTGCCAGCTTTTTCTATGGTTGCCAGTGTGTTTAGTTTAAGATTATTACGATAGATGGCGCCACGTTATAATATTTTAGTTTTAAAACCACTTGATCTATAATTTTAGTTGAGAAGAAGAAGAAGAATTGGTTTTTGACGTTTCTTTTTCGGGTTATGTTTTTTTTAAATTTAGCATATTGAAAATCAATGTTATTGTTATGTTATTTGTAATTAGATAAGTGATTTATTAATAACGGACTCCAAAGCAGAGGAATCTTGTGGAATGGTTGGTTACATTGAACATTGGAGCTTTGAAACAAATAAAGTAAGTACCTATAATCATATAATCATATTTTGTCGTAAATGCATTTCATTAGTATAATGCCTAGTTCTTTATATTCTTTTAGATATATCTTGGACTCTAAAATATCAAACAGTAATATGATACCTCGTAATAAGGAAGATGGTACTTAATGAATTTGGTGACCATCTTTCACTCAACTGACAGTGACAGTATTTGTACATAACCTCTTCGGGTATTTTCTGACATAACCGAATGAAATCATTAACAAGACAACTTGACAACAGGGTAATTTTCAACCAATAGAAATCTTAGAATGTTGGTCACATGGCGAGGTTTGTGACGTCATAAAAATTTATATTTTTTGTAAATATCTTGAAAACGGTAAACTCAATTGAAATTCTGATTTCACAGAAATGTTTAATATTACAAAACGCCTTGAATAAAACCATAAAAAGTATAGGTCAGAAAAAATTTAACTACCCCATTCTTCGATAATTATTTTTCAGGAAATGGAGAAAGCTGCCTCGAGGAAGCTGCGCATGAACGCCAAGGAGGCGATGAAAATCGCGGAAAAATTGTACACCAAAGGTTTTATAAGCTACCCGCGTACGGAAACCAACATTTTCCCTAAAGAGTTGAATTTAACGAACTTGGTGGAAATGCAAAGGGAGGACCAAAGATGGGGACTCTTTGCCACAAGAATAATGAACGAAGGCGGCCCTTCGCCCAGACAGGGCAAAAAAACCGACCAGGTAGGAAAATTTTTACAAACAAGCATAACAAATGCCATCAAAATATTAAAAAAGTAAAAATATGAATTTAATTAATTACAGGTTTCCTAAATATTTTAATTTCATAACATTTGTACGTGGGTTAAAATTAAAAAAAAGTGAGGTTAAAAGCACTTGACAGTCAGATGTCAGATAAAATGTCATGTCTTTTAATTTATCATTTAGAATTAAAAACAACACGAAAAAGTACAAGTACCATGCTCCACACCTCAAAGTCCCACCACGTGACCGCGTACGGAACGCAGTCTTTTGAAAATTTGGCATTTAAGGCTTTTCAGGTTATGTATCTGTCAAAGTGTAGTCAATGAAAGAAATCATAATTATAGTGTTACCGCCTATGTTTAAGCGTTAAAAGTTAATAAATCTTTATACTATAAAGTTTATAGTATCACAATAACATGGTTGGTTTAAGAATTTAGGAATATAAATACTGCATTTAATGAAATTCCAAAGTGTAAGGTGCAATATAAGTGATATTTTTGTGCATTGGGTCTACATTTCTCCATAAAATAGTTTTAACTAAAAAGCATTTATTAAAAAAATCTAACTTCTCTATTATGAAATAATTATTCTATCTGTATCAAAGGTAGGTTAATGTATTAGAACAAAAAATTTCATCTAATTTTGTATTTTAAGGTTAGAAAAATCTATTTTGACCAAAATAAATAAGTGGATTATTTGGAAGAGTGTGTTAATTTGGCCATAAATAAATATAGGTATACTAAATAATTGTTGAATATGGTTCAAATTAAAATGAAGCTTTTATACTTCTAATGACAAAACTTGTGCATACCTCTCGGCATACCTACTTTATGTTAGATTATAAGAAAACAAACAATTTTTAGAGAAACTTGCAATGTGAAAATATTTAATACTCCCATGACATGTGATTTATTAAATTTTTTAAAGTTATAATGATTTTTCAACGTAGATAAAGTTCATTTGAAGCTTTTTAACTATTTGTATTGTCAAAACTTTATGTAGGTACACTTTAAGCTGGATAAGAAAAACCACATTTTTAAATACCATATTATACAGTCTCTTAAATAGGTAATCCAAAATACTTATTTATTTTAATCAAAATGAATTTTTTTAACCTTAAAATTACAATATTAGATATTTTTGTTATAATATATTAACCTACCTTTAATACAGATATTCTTATTCCATAATAGAGAAGCTAGATATTTTTTAATAAATCTTGTTTAGTTAAAATTATTTTATGGAGAAAACCAGATATTTGGACCAAATGCATAAAAATATTACTTATTTGGCACCATACACTTTAGAATTTCATTAAATGCAGTATTTATATTCTTAAATTCTTAAACCATCCATTGTTATTATAATGTTATAAATATTTATACATTTTTAACGCCTAAACATAATATTATTTCTTTCGTTGACTATACTTTGTCAGATACATAACCTGAAAAGCCTTAAATGCGAAATTTTCAAAAGACTGCGTTCCGTACGTGGTCACGTGGTGGGACTTTGAGGTGTGGAGCATAGTACATGGAATAATGAATTTCTAAGCCACACATGATTTATTTTGTTAGGCTCATCCACCTATACACCCCATAAAGTACACAAACACCTTAACCGGCAACGAGCAAAAACTGTACGAATTCGTTGTGCGGCATTTTTTGGCGTGCGTTCACAAGGACGCGCAGGGTTTCGAAACTGCCGTTAACGTGGACATTGCCGACGAGAAATTTACCGCCAAAGGTCTCATCATTTTGGAGAAAAACTACTTGGACGTGTACATTTACGAGAAATGGAACGGAAAAGAAATAAACAATTACGCTGAAGGAGATACTTTTATGCCTACACTGTTGGACATGGTATGTTTGCTTATTTAAATTACATTTGAAGACTATGGCACGCCACTTCACTATTTAATCGTAAATGTAAAAGAAGTAGTTTCTTTTAAATTATGGAATATATAATTTTTTAATAAATTTGGCGCTTTGGGAATGCGGCAGAAAGTGCAACTGCAGTAGTTCAAATGCATAGTAGGTATTTATGCGTAATTTATCTACGTCAACTTTGGCGCCAATATGCGGAGAGATTCGGGTTTTTCACATTATTCACCATTGGACAACATTTACGTTCACAAAAAATTTTAATTTCTTTTAAATAAATTCTTTTCAAAGCGAAGATTATTATCCGCTTTCTCTTTCTCTTCTGGGCCGTAAAGCAACCTATATTTAACTACTTTTTTTTATATGATTTTACTCATCCAAGCACCACCAAAGCCAAATTAATTGCATTTTTAACTACGAATTTAGACAACTCAACTTGACAACTGCACAATGTATGGCACGCCGTTTTAACATTTATTAAATAATTTTTTAATTTAAAATTTTATTGGTTTAAAATTTTAGGTTTACATTTATAAATTTAAAATCTTTTCAACTATCATGTATTGAAAGACAAAATTTACCAACTAACAGTTCACTTCTGTATTAAACAATATTATTTTCTATCAATTTTTGAAAAAAATTCTATCATTTTTTAATAAAAATAATTTCCCAAGTATAATTTATTTGGGTGGCATTTTGTTAACTTAAATAAATATTTTATAAAATTATTGAGATTAATTTGGTAAAGTTACATTTTTTAGTATTTAAAAATAGTATCAAGCCATTTAAAATAAAAATACATATAAAACATTTTCTACCAAAACAGTTTAAAAAGTTAAATTTTTGTAAACTCAAAACCTATGATAATCAAAAAATATTTTAAATATAAAATGCAACTGTAAAAGTTTAAGTTTAAAAATATTGATTTTTAAAAAATGTAATTTTAATATTTTATTCTTCAAAATTATTGGTTTGAATTTGTAAAGAGTCATTTAAATGATCGTCGATAAATTTTCAATACAAAAGTTTCAACATTACATTTAAATGTTAGTTTTAAATTTTAATGTGGTAATTTTTGCATTAAAATTTTATCGACTATCATTTAAATGACTCGATAATTTTTAAATTACAAAGTGAAAACGTAGCTTTAGTAGAAGGCACAAGAGTCTGGGATCGGAGCCACGATGCAGCCAGTTTGATCCGCAGTGTTGCCAAATCGTGCTTGCTCCATAAATATTTGACGCGTTTTACAAATTAAGGTAATGAAATGTTTCTTTATTACATAAATTTAATAATAGAACAACAACATTTTTAGTGCCTATTGTACTAAGTTAATTCGACAATTAAAAAACATTTTTTTCTAATTTTTAAGAGAAAAAATTTTAAAATGTGGTGCCACAATATTACGTGGATGCATCATACAAATTCCCAGTGCCGTTTATAGATTCCCGTACGGGATTGTATTGTTCATCTTCTACGGGAGGAAGGAAGGAAGGCAATCTATAAATCAGGCTTAACACTTAACCTCACCACAAAAGCCGGAAAGCGGGAATTTGTATGTTGCATCCATATACCTATAACCTATAAGTTATAGGTATAGGGTTGCATCCACGTAATATTGTGGCACTACATTTTAAAAATTTTTCTCTTAAAAATTAGAAAAAATGTTTTTTAATTGTCAAATTATCTTAGTACAATAGGCACTAAAAATGTTCCTTTTCTTTAATTAAATTTATTTAATAAAGAAACATTTCAATACGATAATTTCTAAAACGCGTCAAATATTTATGGAGCAAGCACGATTTTGTAACACTGCGGATCAAACTGGCTGCATCGTGGCTCCGATCCCAGACTCTTGTGCCTTCTACTAAAGCTACGTTTGCACTTTGTAATTTAAAAATTATCGACTTACATTTAAACGTAAAGTTATAAATTTTGTCTTGAAATATATCACTTTGAAATTGTTAAAAATAAAAAATTTTGGTTTAAATTTCTAAAGAGTCATTTAAATGATTGTCGATAAATTTTTAATCCAAAAATTACTACTTTAAAATTTAAAACTAATAATTTTGTAGAATAAAATATTATAAACAAAACTTTTAAAAATCAATATTTTTAAACATAAATTGTTACTGTTGCATTTATATTTAAAATATTTTGTTGACTATCAATTGTTTTGAGTTTAAAAAAAATTAACTTTATAAATTTCTGTTAAAACATAATTTAAGTGCTAAACTTTAATCTTTAAACTTTTATCTAATAAATGCTAAAACGGCGTGCCTACAATAATTTATACATAACCACAATTAGATTTATAACTAGCTTAGTTTGTTTTAATCAATGCGACCAACTTGACAACTGTATTTACCAACCAAAACCCTAAATTTGCGACGTTGCCGCAGTCCAGATAAAAAAAACTAAACTTTAGGTGGAAAGCACGACGGGGCCGCCAAAACTGCTCACCGAAGCGGATCTGATCGCTCTGATGGAAAAACACGGCATCGGAACGGACGCGACGCACGCGGAACACATCGACACCATAAAACAAAGGGAGTACGTGGGCTTGCACGAGAACGTCTACTTCGTGCCGGGCACCCTGGGCATGGGCCTGGTGGAAGGGTACAACAACATAGGTAGAGATTTAAAAAACGTTTTTTTTCAGATGTGAAAAAAAACATGAAAAAAAAACCTTGAAAAAAACGGTTTTTTTTGTTTTTTTTCAAAATGAAATTTTGAGTAATATATAGAATATATTACATTTTTCAAAATTAAAAATTTGATTTCTTATTATTTGGTAGTTTCCACATTAGAAACCAATAGCAATGTAAAACTTCTACACTAATAAAAAAAATTAAAGGGTAAAAATTTTTTTTGCGATTTTTCGGATAGCTGTATCTTTGTTAAAAATGGTCGTATTGGAGCCGTAAAAAAAGCAATTTGAAGCTTGAAGTTTATAGTTTTGAGATTTTTAGACGAAAAACGTGCAACGCTCAATCCTAACGAACAACGTAATAAAAAAATCGATTTTTTTTGCTTTCTTTTTTGGTCCACGGAATGTTCTGACTTAACCACATATGAATAAATGTTCTATAAGAATTTGCTATTTTTGCATACTCTACATGAATTTGAAAAATCATGAAAAAAGTGCTTTTGGTAGCTTTTTGAAAAATCAAGCGCTGAATCAAAAATATTGTATGTAGTTACTTTTTTTAGGACCAAATCAAAACAAGCGCGGCCCTTATTAGTCAAATCGGTGGTTGTGGCGCAAACGAGACTGTATTTAAATTTACTAATTGTCATTTAGTGGCTAATTTTAGTCCATGGAAACATAAAAAATTAGGCAAATGGGACTAATCTTGAAAAAAAACCTAAAATGTGAAAAAAAACCATTTGAAAAAATACAAAAAAAACGGACCGTTTTTTTCAAGTCGCATCTCTAAACATAGGTCTGGAAGTGTCGCTGGCCAAGCCGAACCTGCGCGCCGACTTCGAGAACGACTTGAAGCTGATCTGCGAGGGCAGGAAAAACGCCGAGGTAGTCAGGGCCGACCAGATACGGAAGTACAAGGCCGTGTTCCAGACGGTGGCGGAGAAGATGCGGCTGATAGACGACAGCTTGGCGTCGCGGCTGGACGATCGGCCGCAGACAGTGCCCGAACAGGATTTAACCGGTCGCGACGAGCACGCGCCGGTTTTGAAGTGCCCCAAGTGCGGGAGCGACATGGTCCTCAGGAGCAAGAAAACGGGCGGCGGGAAGTTCATGGCGTGCACCGGATATCCGGCGTGCAAGAACGTCGTGTGGTTCCCCGCCTGCGTGGAAAACGCCCGAGTAACCGACGAAGCTTGTCAGCAGGTTTGCATTAATCAAAACAAAATGGCGGTTTGATAGGTGATAATTGTTGTGCTTTTAGTGCGGCCCGGGCGTGAAAAAAGTCAAATTTAACTTCAAGCCGAATCCGTTCCCGGGCGATCCGAATCCGAACACGATTTGCATCGCCGGATGCGATTTTATCGTCTGTCAAACTTTGGATATTAACATCAGTAATGTTAGAAGAGGTAGGTAGTATTATTAATCATGGTATAATAAAACAAGGGATGTTCTTCAGTAGGTTCACTTTGCGCACCACCCAGTTTTTATCCATTCTGCCGTGCTTAATGAAAACGCCGTAACCAACAATGTTGAGATTTTTGGTTTACGGCATTTTCTACTAGAACAATTCATCCTGCGTCTATACCCGGTACTCAAAAAACCGTATCTATATATATACGGTTTTTTGAGTACCGGGGATAGACGCAGGATGAATTGTTCTAGTAGAAAATGCCGTAAACCAAAAATCGCAAAATTGTTGGTTACGGCGTTTTCATTAAGCACGGCAGCATTCCATCCAAATTTCCATAAAATTATTCAATTTTTAGATTAAATTGTCCAATAATTTGAAGATCACGCGTAAAAAAACGTCAAAATAGGTATTTACATTTCAAGAAAATATTATTAATGAAGAAAAACTATTTTATATGCTTTTTCAATCAAATAAAATAAATGAAAAAAGTGCGAAGAAAAATTAAAATAACTAATATTCTGTTTTAAAGCAAATATAAAAAATAAAAATAAAAAGTCTCATTGCAAGAAAAATGTAAACAACATATTTTTTCTAAATTTATTAATTACAAAATTGTATTTACAAATAATTGCAATTTAGGTTTAGTTGCCAAATGAAAACCCTAAATTGGCCACCATGGAGCCAACATTGAATAAAACAAACTAAACTTGAGAAAAATATTATATTATGATATGGCATAAGCTGGTTTTCTAATGCTTATGGATTGTTTCAATACCGGCCCATTTCTGTTATGGACTGTCCTTGATCATCTTGACACATTTCCTGCACAGAGCAAAAAGAAAGATTTAATTTTGTTTTTTAAATTTTATTTTAATTTCTTACACTGCAGTCCTTGAGTTTCTGTTACAGGCTGTCTTTAAAGATCATATGCTTTCTGGTGTTGTGCTATTTCCTGTTCACTGTAAAAAGAACTACGATTTATATTGTTTTTTTAATTTTATTTTAATTTCTTACAAAGTTTTGATTTCTCTTTTGATAAATCAGCTGTTAAGTGTAAGGTTGGAACCATATCCACTCTTAAAGACTTTTTTATGGGAATGTTGTTTTTCAATCCAATTTTCCTTCTTATATAGACCAGGGTCGATAATTTTTGAAACCAAAAAAAATAACAGTAGGATGAAACCCATTGGAAAAGGAGAAGAATATAATAAAAATGAAAGGAAAAATAAATTACGGGCGATCTGACTTCGGGAAGTGGGAGGGGGGGGGTTTAAGGGTAAAAAATGGTTTATCTCGATTTCCGGCAAAACTACAAGTCCTATGGAAAAAAGTTAAATGGCAAAGTTGTAGGTAATAAAAGGATCTACAACTTTTGTAATTACAATTTTTTCACATAACCTCAAAATTTATGTGAAAAATTTAAAAAACCAAGTTTTTGGTTTTTTATTTTTCTTTTTCAAAAAAAAATTTTTTCCACGAAATTTGGTGAAAACTTACCTTTTTATGTCCCAAATACACTGTAATTTATTTGATTTGAAATATTTATTATTTCGCCTTATTTTGACTTAATATCAAAAAAGCACCCTAATTTTCAATCGAAAATTCTCGCGTCAAAATATCAGCTTTTTTCAAAAAGTCGGTGTGCTTTTTGTTTGTTGAAATCTCTACTTTCTGATGGTGTAAAAAAAATATACATTACTATGGTAAATGTTCTCAGAAAATGCAAAAAATATTATAATGAAAAACGAAAAAAACTCGAATTCGAAAATTTATTTTAATCATTATAATGAAATTGTACGTATACGTACAATTTCATCAAAATAATGTGATTGTTGCAATTTTTTTTAGTTAAAAAGTTTATTTATTAAATTCTAATAACATTTATGTCAGAAAATCTCATAAAATATAAAAATACATGTAAATCATACTATTGAATTTAGATACTTCATTCTGATTACGTTATTCATTATAATATTTTTTTTACACCATCAGAAAGTAGAGAGTTCATCGAACAAAAAGCACACCGACTTTTTGAAAAAAGCTGATATTTTGACGCGAGAATTTTCGATTGAAAATTAGGGTGCTTTTTTGATATTAAGTCAAAATAAGGCGAAATAATAAATATTTCAAATCAAATAAATTACAGTGTATTTGGGACATAAAAAGGTAAGTTTACACCAAATTTCGTGGAAAAAATTTTTTTTTTGAAAAAGATAAAAATAAAAAACCAAAAACTTGGTTTTTTGAATTTTTCACATAAATTTTGAGGTTATGTGAAAAAATTGTAAATACAAAAGTTGTAGATCTTTTTATTACCTACAACTTTGACATTTAACTTTTTTCCATAGGACTTTCAGTTTTGCCGGAAATCGAGATAAACCATTTTTTACCCTTAAACCCCCCCCCCTCCCACTTCCCGAACTCAGATCGCCCGTAATTTATTTTTCCTTTAATGTTTATTATATTCCCCTCCTTTTCCAATGGGTTTCATCCTACTGTTATTTTTTTTCTCTTTTACCATTTTTAAAGGCTTCTGCACTGGTCTAATAGCAAATATCTTTGAAGTAAATCTACTCAAGCCGTCTAAGAAAATGTATTTGATTTCCAGGTTTTTTCTTTTGGCATTGTTTTTACAGATTTTCACTTGGCAGGTACAAAACTTTAACCTTGTTTTCTTGTATCATGGTATTAATTTTAATTTAAAAATCGCTTTATTACTTACTATACCTATGTGATTTTTAGAAAATCAACAAAATAATACGCGATTAAATAACACAACGACAACAGCACGAGCCCCAACAAGCAACTTAAACAGTTGGTTGAACAATTCGACGGCAGGTGGCAGTGGCAGAGCAAACGGCAACAATTCCAACGCCACCGTGACCTCGAACTCGTATCAACCGCAAAGCAACGGTTGGGCATCGACGAGCCGCCAATCGTCGGAAACAACGACGAATCGCCCGCCGCCTGCGACTCGCGTGGTGCAAAACGCCGACCCGTCGGACATTGTGTGCAACTGCAACCTGCAAGCTGTGCTGTTGACCGTGAGAAAGGACGGCCCGAACCAGGGCAGGCAGTTCTACAAGTGTCCGAACGGGGCGTGCAGCTTTTTCCTGTGGTTCGGAGACGACGGCGGCGGCGACGGTCCTTCGTCCGCTAACGAGGATTCGACGCCGAAGTGCAACTGTCACCTGCCGGCGCAGCAAAAAACTGTGCAAAAGGAGGGCCCCAACAAGGGAAGGCAGTTTTACGGCTGCTCCAAGCCCATGGGGCAGGGGTGCAACTTCTTCAAGTGGTGCGACGAGGTGAGTTTCTTCTTTAAGAAGTCTCCACTCAACAGTAAAATACAAAAAACCGGTATTATACACTCACAGGCAAAATAATCGATCCACACAAATTTTCGATGAATTTCAATCGCAAATAACTTTTTTATTTGATGTCGGATTTAAACGAATATTAAAGAATATTGTAGATAAATTAATGGACGATCGCTCACATTTTAAAAAATAACTAAAAAATAGACGTACGTTTATAATATACAGGTTTAAACAAAAAGATGTTTTTTACCATAAGTTTCAGACACTCTGTAGAGTGGCAAAACCGTATATTGTTCTAAATTAAGTTTTAATTATCAAGTCACATCTATTCTTAACAGTTTTGTTTTTGGTTCACCTCGATATATTTATTTTTGTGGAAAATATGGATTTCTTTAAAAAAACATTGCAATTTCCAATATTTTCCTGTATGAAGAACTAAGGTTGCTATGACTTTTAAAAAAGTCTCCGACTGATGTTGCCCTTTGTACTTTACTTCTTGTGACGTTTAAAACACTTGCCACGTAATACTGTGACCGTCCATCCTGGATTAAATTAATGGCTCTGGCAACATCAGTCGGAGACATATCCATTTTTTAAAGTAAGAAGACACCTCAAAATTTAAACATTAATTTGCAAAAAACAATTTGATAGCTTTTGAAAGCCGTGTATGACATGTCCAAGTATGGGATGATTCAACAAAACTGTCACTGTCATTCTCCATAGCCTATGGGTGGACCATACAGAAAGATATTGGAAATTGCAATGTTTTTTTTAAAAATCCATATTTTCCACAAAAATAAATATATCGAGGTGAACCAAAAACAAAACTGTTAAGAATAGATGTGACTTGATAAATAAAACTTAATTTAGAACAATATACGGTTTTGCCACTCTACAGAGTGTCTTAAACTTATGGTAAAAACATCTTTTTGTTTAAACCTATATATTATAAAAGTACGTGCATTTTTTAGTAAATTTTAAAATGTGAGCGATTCTCCGTTAATGTATCTACAATATTTTTTAATATTTGTTTTAATCCGAAATCAAATAAAAAAGTTATTTGCGATTGAAATTCATCGAAAATTTGTGTGGATCGATTATTTTTCCTGTGAGTGTATAAAGGGTGTTATTTAATTAATTGTGTAAGTTATACCGTGAAACGGAAAAATATTTTCCCAAAGATAAAGAAAAAATATGCATTGGAAGTTTTATATATTTTTTGTGATACGCCACTGGTTACACACTTGTGTTCTGTGAGTACATAGATACCAAGCAACAAAGTAGCTGCGCGTTGCCAGTTGTTACTAAAAATTTTTCTTCCAAAAAATTAATAAAAACTCAATAAATACAAAAGTTTTATGCCCCCCTTAAAGCTCTAATATGAGGCGCCATTTGTGTTAAAAGTGCAAAATAAACTTATTTTGCTTTATAAATAATTAATTATATGCAATATTTACCTACCAAATTATTTTTGTATCAAATTATTTCTTTATCAAGTTATTTTTTTATTAAATTATTTTTTGAGGGGAAAAATAAAATGATGATATTTTGGATTTTATAATAGCATGTTTATAACAGCAAGAATTGGCAACGTTGTATTTTGAGCACCATGGTCAAAAGATTTTTATTATAGACATATTAATATGTAGATGGTTTTAATAATTAACCATTTTGTTGGTTTTCTGTAGTATACCAATTTTTTGGCATTGTTTTTTTTCATTGTCTTTACGAGATTTTCAGTGGGTTTTACATAATATGAATATTATAAAATTTGATATAACCTAAATTTAATTTAGTTTACAATTCGTATCATACATGGACATTATCCATTGGATATATTAATATGTCTATGGTATTATATATTTTAAATCCCACAGTTATGAACTGACTATGCGCATAAGGTTGATAATACCCCAAATCGACAAATTTCCCCTCAAAAAACAAGGTAATCCATACAAAATAATTTCATTAAAAAATAAATTGATAAAAAAATAATTTGATAAAAAATAAGTTGATAAAAAATAATTTGATAAAGAAATAATTTAATAAAAAAATAATTTGGCAAATAATGCATATAATTAATTATTTAAAAAGCAAAATAAGTTTATTTTGCACTTTTAATTTTGACACAAACGGCGCCTCATACTCTAATACCCTCCCGTATTTATTTACTCATCCAGCGTAAGAAATGATTAGAAAATTTAGTACCTACTTTAAAAACCATAACCACAAAATTAATTTTTATCGGTTTTTTCTTTCTGGATACTGAGATGAAATTAGGACAAGTTCACATGTTAAACTTTAAACATTCAATTTGTGTAAATAAATTCAAAAGCCTTAGTTACATAAGATATATACAATTTAAGCACATAACCTGAAATTTGAAAGAAATTTACCAGATTCTGTCATAAAAGTTGACAGATTTTGTTTGAAAATGACATATTCAACAATTAATAAAACGCCAAATTAGGCTAAATTTAAACAAAATCTGGCAACTTTTTTGACAGAATCTGGAAACGCTGGTTGCAACTGTAACCTAATAAATTAAATTAGGCAACCAGATTAGCCTAAAGTTCCTAGTCGATCAGTGGCGTACTTTTTGGTGGGATAAAGGTTATTATAAATTGTTTTTAGTCTTTAGCATTTGGAAAAAAAGTTTCAGGTGCTACTCATTTTAATATACTACATTAATAGCATAACACCCTGTATCTTAATTATATTTTTTTCTGTGTATAATCTGCCCCTTTTTAGGATGACAACGGAGGTGGCGGAGGAGGTGGCGACGATTGGGGTGGGGGTGGCGGCGGCGGGTGGCGGGGAAAAACCTCGTCTCGGGGCGGTAGAGGGAGGGGGGGGCGGTAGGGGATCCAGTAGCGGTAGCAAACGTGCTGCTCCCTACGGAGGGGCGCCGAAAGCGAAACGAAAATGCAGTTCGTGCGGGAATGAGGGCCACACCAAGAACAAATGTCCAAACAGTTGATTATTATTATTTTATTAAATTTATTAATAAATATTTATTTTTTAACAAATCATTCTTGTCTTACTAATTTTTTCAGATTTTCAATCTCGCGTTCCTGTATGTGGCTTTCTGCAGTTGTTTGTGTGAGCATGTTTAAAATCATTTCATATTTTACCCGAAGTAAGTTGTTTTCTTCCGACAGTTCTTGCATTTGTTTCCTTAATTTTTGGTTTGTCTTGTAATTCAATCCATTCTCACCACTTTCTAGAAAGAACATTTTTTTTATTTAAAGTTCTTAAAACAGAAAAAGTTTTTTTTACCAGGATACCATTCTCCATTTTCAAACACTAGTTTATTATTGTCCAAATTTAATTTGACGCTTCTACGATCCAAAACCAACTCGTCCAAATTTTCAGTTGAAATCGCATTATTGCCTTTTCTTATCGGCGCTTTTTTTGGTGAAAACTTACTCCCAAAAAAGGGCATCGTTTATATTATGACAATACAAACAATAATTGTTTTTAAAATGTATCTAATATATGCAACCATCATGACCCTGGTGATATGTTAGTTGCATACCTTTATGAAAAAATCTGGTGACATTTGGTTTTAAACAGTTGTCAAAATGGATACAATGTCATGAACTGTCAAATGAACGTGCCGAAAATTTAATAAAAACATGGGTATTTTGGAGAAAATATCGGAGATCGAGAAGGAAATCGCAAGAACGCAGAAAAATAAAGGTGATTTGAAGGAATTTAACGGATTTTTGTAATTGTTTGATTTATTTTGCAGCCACTGAGTACCATTTGGGGTTATTAAAGGCTAAATTAGCAAAATACAGGTCGCAGTTGTTGGAGCCTTCGAAAAAAGCCGGCGAAAAGGGAGAAGGATTCGATGTGCTGAAAAGTGGGGATGCCAGGGTGGCTCTAATAGGTTTTCCATCCGTAGGAAAGGTCAGTCTTTTCTTTCTGTTTGACTAACCAATTAATAATGCCTGTCGAAAAATATAAATTCTGTTTTGCTGTAGGGTAGCAGACAACTTTTATGAGGCAATTTGAGTGGGCTTAAATTTAAAGACACCATAATTTTGTTTAATCTGTTCTTGTTTTTGCTATACTGCAAAAAACCTTTTTTTCAATACACATTATAATTTGTTTTGAACAAAATAAAATTGTTATAGCCAAAAATCTGACAAAAATGTAAATGAAAATTGCTGAATTTTGGCTAGAAAACTATTTCATTTCAGGCCAAAACTTTAGGAATGTGTAGGTATATATTTTTTTCATTTTATTTGGGAGAATCCTTGAATATACAGTATGTATTGGGATGTGGTTTCATAGAGAAAAATACTAGGTTTATCAGAAAATTTTATTCTTGTAAAATAATTTTTGTCTTGGATGGGGTATCTGTGGACATACTGTATAAATATCATATGCATGCATAAAAAAACTTCTTTTTCAATATGCATATTGAAAAAGACGTTTTTTTATAATATCGCGAAAACAAGAGCTGATTGAGAAAAATTATAGTCTTTTTGAAATCAGTGCAGCTAAATTGCCATAGAAAAGTTCATCCTGCAGCAAAATGTTGACCAGTGTAGGGATGGTAAAAATCCAGGGTTTGACCGATATATAATATATATTATCACTGATAAATATCATGACATTTATAAAACTTAAGTAAGTTCTATTATAACATTTTAAAAAAGTATATATTTGTCTTAATAGATGGCGCTACTACTACCTTCAATTTAGAGTCTTTATTTTCAATCTACGAATTTAATAAATATTTGTAGATTTTATTAAACACAAAATGTGCAGAAATTTACAAATTTGTTTAATTCGTTCGTAAGTGTTTTGTTTACTTTTTTAAATAAATTTATTAAAAACATTTTTATTCTGGCTAATATAATTAATTTTTAACCTAATATTTATATATATATATATATATATATATACAGGGCCGGCGTTAGCTTATTAGAGGCCAGGTGCAAAAGAAAAATGCGGGGCTTGAACTTTAAATAAAAATTTACTCTTGAAAATTAACATAGCGCCTACCCTAGTAGAAATTTAAATGGGGAACTAGTAGGGCGCTAGCTAGTTTTCCCCAAATGAAACGAGGGCCTCGCTAGGAATCCCTACTAGTTTCTGACTAGTCATGTAATGCTTTTCCTGGTGGGGAACTACTGGGGAAAAGCTGGTAGGGAAAACTAGCTTAAAACTAGTTGGGAATATATGTGAATTTTTTAACCAATAATAAATGCCAGTAGCAAAATTTTTTTTATTAGATTTAAATATATTTACATTCTCACTTTTTTTCTTTTTTTTTTCGGTTCTGCCCCCACTCTAGTCTTTGGAAGCTTAAAGCTTTTTCGAACTCTTTTGCCTTAAGCCTTTGTTTATCCGGTAGTTTTTGTCCATCAATGAAATCTAAAATGTTAAGGCAATAATTAATAATTATTCACATTTTATTTTGCATTCAATCGAAATCAAATAAAATTTTAAGGGAAGTTACCTGAATATTTGCGTTAAATTTAATGATATTTATTTCCACCTTTTTAGTAAATGACATTTTATAGGTTAATTTTGTTGTTTTTGTATCCAAGTCAAAGATACATTATGGGAACAGACCTGTAATATTTTACGGGCTTGTATAAAAGACCTGTAAAGTTTTACAGGCTTGTAGAAAAGCAATTTATGAAATGAAATGTCACATTTGACATATTAATTAAAATTTTAAATTTGAAATTCTTTATCTAAAGGTGAAAATAAAAGTTTGTACGTGTCACGCTTTGCAATTAATCTTTACTAGGCTCACTGTATTATGGGGTTCGCTCCTGCGTCGCTCACCCCACAAACTTTCAGCTCGCCCGTAAAGATTCATTTACAAAGCTTGACACGTAAATAACTATTAAAGGCAATGCATTTTTATTGGACTGTATCTAAACGCATTATTTTCGACTATTAAACTGGACTAGTGTTAAGTGATAAATGTATCGTACTTTTTATACTATTTGCGAAATGTGAATAGTGTCTGTATTTCCTGTTTCAGATCAATTACTTTACACATGTCGTCACTTAAGGGTGGAATTGTATCTAATGCCAGTGGATCCTGGGGGGGTGTTTGAAGGGATAATATTATTAAAATTTGGTGACTCACCTGAAATATCCCATAAAACTTTAGAACTTTTGGTTGAGATAAATTTAAGCACAATACTGTAATTAAATGAGACTAATGCTAGTCTAGAAAGGACAGACATACGACGTCTAAAATAACTAACCTTTAATACGGAAGGATTTGAAGGTACCTCCGTACGAAATAATAGGTGAACAATACCGTTCTTGATCTGCCGCCATTTTATCGGCTTTAATTTACGTCGTAAATTTTCCTTTTCCTCTTCAGAGCTGCTTGAGGAAGTAGTAACGGGCGAGTGTCCAAGCCTTTTGCCCATTTTCTTGATAAATCTAGCACAATTTTTCTAAAAACTTAAGTATTGGTTCAACAAACGTGGTTACGATAAAGCACAAAAAAGAATGACATAACTTATGTCACATAAGCAGGTCTACCAACATCGTCATAAGCAGGTCTACCAACTTCGATAGGTAGGTATTAAAAATTTATTTATTATCTGTAAAATCGTGGTGCCATCTAGTGAGACGGGACGCAAATATAATAAAAGTTATTTGAAATATTAACAAATTGTGTTTGTCCATTTGATTTCTACAGGCATGTTAAATATACACCCTCATCTCACCCAAAAAATCTTAATCTTAAATTTTTTCCCAGTTTAACTTAAGTTAAAGGTGTTTAATTAAACAACTTTTATCTTTGAAACAAAGAAGCATCTCAAAAACATAATTCCTTAAATTTTTATCCGAGAGAAGCCTTGTAAATCAAATATATTTAAATTGTAAAACGTTTAATACAATCCATTCTAAGAGTAAGAATGACAATAATTGTTATAACAATTATTGTCATTATGTTTTAATTATATCGATCGATACGAATGGAATGTTAAGATTGATCTTAAAGATTTTCCATACATTTACTTACAAGTTTATGGCGAGGAAAACTTGACTCAGCCTAGACTGGGATTTAATAAGGAAAACTAGATGTGAACTAGTCAGTCGGAGCCGAGCCACAACTAGGCAAGTTTTACTGGTTAGTTCCTAGTCGGGGCCGATCTAGGATTTCCCTTTCTAGTTTTTCCCTATCTAAATCCAACCAGCGCCCTACCAGTAGTGAGGAAAACTGGACAAATTTCTACTAGGGTAGCGGCAATAAACTAATAAATCATCAAACGATAAACCAATTGAAGGGGTTAGAGCTGAAACCGCCCAAGTGCATTTTTAAGTCAAAATTTCTTAAGCATGTTAGCGGATAGTAGAAAATTTTGGCTTAAAAATGCATTTGGGTGGTTTCAGCTCTGACCCCTTCAATTAATATAGAAATTAACGTTTAAGAAAATATCACACATATGTTTTCCGTGCTTTGGCGGAAGCAAAGGCGTCAATGGTTTTTGAAGTCATATCCAGTTCTCTTCCAACATCCTTCTCTATTGACAATATAGCCAAACCCACTAGTCGTTCTTGGCACATACTTGATCTTAAATAATTTTTTATTAATTTTAATTTTAAAAAACTTCTTTCCGCAGAGGCAACCGTGACGGGCAAGGTAAGTAAAATTCGAATTGCGACGCAGATATTTGGATAGGCCAAAAACATCTTTGTAGTTTGAAGGTATTTTAGTATGTTTAAGAGCGAACTTTGGTTGATTTCAGGAATTATTGGAATTAAAGATGTTAGTTCTTCAAACAATTCTAAGTAATCAATATCGGAATCAGCATTTTCCGCGGATAAAACAGAATGTAGGTTTTTGCAGTTATTTTGCAATTCTTCATCAGGAAGATCTTTGATTTTTGTAAATTCATACATAAATCCAAACTTTTTCCTAATATCCTCATATAATTTAAATCTTTCCTTAAAGGATTCTATTGCTCTATCAAGGACTAATAGGAAGAATTCAACACGAAAATGTTCTTCTTTGTCCTCGAACGTTTCATCTGTACCTTCATAGTCAAAAGATTTTTTGACTCTTCTACAAAAGATATTATCTCCTGGCATCGACCACATATTATGTTCAACATAATATGTTGTCGCGCGGCGCTTACCGGTTGCCAAAATGTACAATAATTTCGTCGAGACGCCTTGATGCGCGCGGGGCCTATAAAACGCGGGGCCGGGTGCACCGCACCGTGTGCACATGCCTCACGCCGGCCCTGTATATATATAAATATCATGATATTTTTCGCTGTAAAAATCGGTAAGAAAAACTATAGAAAATTTCTCCCACCCTTAGAGTCTAAAGCTTAATTTTCATGTATACGTTTGTCCGTTAATCCGATCATCCTGGAGCGCTCTTATTGGTCCAATTATAACGTTATTTTAAGACAATTTATTTTGAAATATTTTAATGTTTTTTTAATTATGAAACGGAGTAATTACGTTCGTTATGTGAATAAAGTTCTACTGTTATGTCTTTAGAACGGAAAAAAAGAAAAGACAAAAAAAACAGAACTAAAAGGACTTGCTGTTTCAAAACTATACATATTAATGTATATTAAGGCTTGTATATTCTTTTTCTATGGTATAGGCATTAGGTAAATTTAGTGAAGTGAATATACTGGTCCTAAATTTCTATTTGTCGCCAAATCAATCCGTTAAACGTCATTAAAAAACGGATCCCTGAAACGTTACCTTAAGGCGGGAAATTTAAACTTACACTTAACATAAAAATACAAAGCGTTCGTTTGTGTTCAGTCGGGTACGATTTTCATAGATCGATAACTATCGATAGTTTTCCCATCGCTGGTCATCAGTGTAATGTTAAGACAATATTAGAAGTAGTACATTTTCCTGATACAGTATTATTATATATTTATTTAGTCCACATTGCTATCAACTCTAACGAAAACGGAAAGCGAAGCGGCCTCGTACGAGTTCACCACGCTAACGTGCATCCCGGGCGTGATAGATTACAACGGGGCCAACATACAACTGCTCGACTTGCCCGGCATCATAGAGGGCGCTGCCCAAGGCAAGGGCAGAGGACGACAAGTGATCGCGGTGGCGCGCACGGCCGACTTGGTCCTGATGATGCTGGACGCGACGAAAAAAGACGTCCATCGAGACCTGCTCGAGAAAGAGTTGGAGAGCGTGGGCATAAGGTTGAACAAGAAGAAGCCCAACATCTACTTTAAAGTGAAAAAAGGCGGCGGCCTCTCCTTCAACTCCACCTGTCAGTTGACGAAGATCGACGAGAAGTTGGTGCAGATGATCCTGCACGAGTACAAGATTTTCAACGCGGAAGTTCTGTTCAGGTAAAAAAATCCACTCTATAACTCACAAAAAATCATAAAAAAATAACACAAAAAAACATAAATGTTTTTAATTTCCCTGCACGGTGCGACGACAAAAATGCTCGTTACACTGATACACATGATAAATGCCACATCACAAAATATCAATAAAAACCAAAATTGATCTATTTCACAATAAAAAACATAACACACATACAAATACCACGGTATTTAAATAATACCACATAAAATTAACTTTTAATAACCAAAAATTACCTTCAATTTTTCTTAAAAAGGGTTTTTATTAATTTTTCCCTTTAAAAAACTATAGCCATAAAAATAAATACTGAAACATAATAACATACCCTCACCGCCAATTTTCTCTATAACAAATTCTTTTTTAAAAAGTAATTTAAAAATATATATATTTAGGTTCTATTTTATTAAATTCTTTTTAAAATGATATAATATGACAACTAAAATTTTTCTTAAAAAACAACATAAAAACTTCTACAAAATTGTCATTTTTAGCGATATTTCGTTTTTTAGTCAAAAATATACCGTGTTATATACCAAACAAAAGGATTTTTAATTTTCTTTTAAATGACAGCTAAAATAGTAAACAATCTGAAGAATGTTTTGCTGTATTTTGCAAACTTCATATTTTGTTATGAGATTTTGAATCGGTGAGAATAAAAACAGTACAAGTCCAAAAATTTAATTTTGACAATTTATTTTCTAAAATCAATTTTAAAGTTTAAAATACAATTTTGTTGGAAGATATAAATTATTTTACAGAAAATGAATATTATATTTCATAAAATAGTGAAAAATTCTAACAAAAATGCATTTAGAACTATAAAACTGATTTTTTGAAATATTTTATCAAAAATTTTACTTTTGGACTTGTACTATTCTTAACCTTATCGATTTAATTAATGTTAGTTATTAACTAAACGGTTGACATGTTTTTTCTTAAAATATAAAGATAACATCATTTGATTTTGGCATTAACCAAATCTATCGACGCATTTTTTTAAATAAAATTAAAAGTGTGGTGAAATTTATACTTGTATACAGGGTGTCCCAGAACTCGCGCCACATAGAAAACCGGAACGTGCCGAAAGTAACGTGAAACACATATTTGAAAATTAAAATTGTCTAACGCAAAGGATAAGCGAGATAAGAATAAAAAACGATAGCCAATCCCAATAGATGGCCTTAGGGAATTCTTTAAATTGCTAGGATACTTAGGTTGCATTGTTGATAATAAAAAATATGTAAAATATTTGGTCCACTGGAATCCAATTCATTGTGACACTGCTGTCAAACTCCTGTCATTAATATTATATTAGGTTATAAATTAAGTTATTATAAATAATGTTTTCCTTAGATGATTATACTGAAATGATAATTATTTATTTATTTAGTGTGGGCGCAACGCCAGGGAGACAACGCGAGTTTTTTCCCAGCCCTTTCCTAATCGTTATTTTAAAACATTGGCGTTCTGAAGTATAAGCGAGGGGTAATCACTTAAAAATCTTAGAGACCAACGTTCAATGTTAGTGGACGTTGTGTTAAGATTTTTTTTCCTTATCAGTCGTTATCAATAAGGAAAACTTGCTTAATCGGTGCTTAATCAGTGCTTAGCGACGCGTTGTACATGACTACCTTTGTTATTGTTATCCTTAGCCGTTAATTCGTAAGCGATTTTTAATTTAAAAAAATCAGTGGTTTACCCCTCGAGTATAAGTCATAGATTAATAACCTCATTTTTGAAAGCTTTTGACAACTTAGTAAATACAGTTGGCCAAAAGATTTTTAAATGTTTTTAATACAACAATGTTCTATCGTCTCCTAGCAATTTTTAAAGCTCTATGGTTTAACCTAGGTGAGAGCTCTCGGTATTGGCTGCCGCTTTTTTGCTCTCATTCGATTACACTATTACCTAGAAATTTTTTATTTTTAAATTTGGCATCTCCATTGCTATCGGCACGCCCCCTTTTTCTCTGTGGCGCGAGTTCTGGGACACCCTGTATATATGTACCTCAGATATATACAAAAGTAGTAATTTTACCTCACTTTTAATTTTATTTAAAAAAATTCGTCGAGCGATTTGGCTAAAAAACTAGTCAATATAACTTATTGTTACAAAAGAAGTTTTATTTTTTTTTATTTTTTAAGTAGTAAAGAGATGTTTTTATTTAATTAAAGAAATTCATTTCCATACTTTATATTTATATTTTACAAAAAACCTCCTAAATTCCTAAATAAAATTTGTAATTTAGCCGTGGGAGCCCTGTATGTTGTAATTACCAAATATGTCTGTGATATTAATTTTAAAATAAACATTTTTGATTTGATTTGATTTGAGTTCTGTTCAGGGAAGACTGCACGGCGGACGAGTTGATCGACGTCATTTGCGCCAACAGAGTGTACTTGCCGTGCCTCTACGTCTACAATAAGATTGATCAGATTTCCATGGAAGAGGTGGACCGGATCGCGAGGCAGCCCAACAGCGTCGTGGTCAGCTGCAACATGAAGCTGAACCTGGACTACCTGTTGAGCACGCTGTGGGAGTACCTGAGTCTGATCAGGGTGTACACCAAGAAGCCCGGTCAGCCGCCGGATTTCTCGGACGGCTTGATTCTGAGGAGGGGCGTCACGGTCGAGCACGTCTGTCACGCCATCCACAGGACTTTGGCGGAGCACTTTAAGTACGCTCTCGTGTGGGGCACCAGCACCAAGTACTCCCCGCAAAGGGTCGGAGCCTCGCATTCTATGGCAGATGAGGATGTCATCCAGGTCATCAAGAAGTAATCCTTTTCGTTAATATTATTTTGGTTTTGCAGGACAGGGCGTTTCGAAAATTACACAACACTTTGTAGAGGTGTACTTACTTCACTGTGTGGTGTAATTTTTGGGTCGCCCTGTGTTATGTTTAATGTGTGACACCAAGTAAAATATTTATATTTTATATCGTCATTAATATTATTAAAAATAATAATATTCTCTCATTAAATAAAGAGTTTACTTTATTTTGTTGTCTTTACTTAAAATACGGATACTATCCCTTTACCTCTAAAAACAATAATAATTTGACTTTGGTGGTGAGTAGATGAGTAAAATCATATAAAAAAGTAGCTAAATATAGGTGACTACGGCCCAGAAGAGACAAGTGTATCAAGTTTGATAAACGCTATTTTATACACGAATTTTAATTAAATTAATGAGTGTATAGAAAAGTTTATAAACAAGGTGCATACTATACTTTTTCTACGACAAATACTTATTATTATCTTAAAATGATTTAAATCAAAAATTTGTATAGAGCGCCATCTATGAAACAATAAAGGAATCTGTGTCACCGTCAAATGTCAATTTTTTTATTTTATAAACACAGATTATAAAGGTTATAAATCGAATTGTATTTCTTGAAAATTGACAGTTTGACAGAGATAGTTAAAAAAATGTTTTATGAGCGCTTTATAGTTTACTGCCGGCGAAATTAAAAGGTCGGTGCAATGTTCATATAAACTTTTTAAATATTGGCGTTGAGAAACTATTTAATACTTTTGTATTTTTGTATTGAGATAATAAAATAATTTTCACATTTAGTATTATTTACAAGAAAGGCACTTTATTTTAACGATTGTACCTATGACATTTGACAACTAACTTAAAACTAACTTCAGCCCGTGACTAATAACCTGTTGCTAACTATTTGGTGACACCCTGTATATCATATATGATTTATTATTGCTAACCACGCCACATGCTCTGCAATAAAGGACGATTTAATTTCACACATGGAAAACGTCACTTGATTGTGATTGGCCCCAATCAAATTGTTTGTGCATTGCACACTGCTGTTATATAGTATGAACAGGATGGGATTACAAAGAAATTTTTTGTTACAAATTTACTCTTTTTCAAAAGTTTTTTTTATTTTAAATTAAAAATTGTAATCCCCCATATGTCACTTACGATGTTTTTACATTTGTCACTTGCGAAGTTATTGGTATTGATTACTTACGTGGTTTTTACTAGAAATGATAAAAAAATTTAATGGTGAGAACAGGATACGAAAGATAATACACAAAAAAACCTTTTTTATTTTTTATTTTTATATCATCATTGAAGTACATTTCATTGCAATTGATGAACATTTAAAACTGATAACTTAAAAATAATAATCATAATCTACATTAATAATTAAACTAGACCTCTAATCGGAAACAAACATCACTTTGCTTAATAATTATTATGCAATAGTATAGAATAGAGAATAAGTAGTAGAAGAGAATGTGTTGGTAATAGAAATCTAACATTTATTTTTCATAATAGTAGTATATATAGGACACTGTTAATCTCAATATTTTACATTTACTTTTTGTTATTTAATCCACACATAATAGGCATATTGATTAACGTTATTATTATTATTAAATACATTACATTAGGGAACAATTGGCTATATGTACACCCATGGACAATAGCTTTGCAGTTATAACAAAACTATTGTCCACAACTGTAAGTACCTACAATAATTCTAAACACCTAGCAATATAGTTGGATGAGTGCTGTTGCTTTTATGTAGTTTGAATAAATAGACCATTCATTGTTAATTAATACAACTAATTAACAAATATACCAAGAGTAAAACCGTTTTACATTTTTTTATGAATGTATCTCAAAGTGTGTGAACATAAGAAACTTAGCCAAGTCAGTAACATAATTAGTGCAATCTGAGATACGAAGAAAAAATGTAAAAAGTTGCAAAAGTGAGTGGACGACGGAAAAATTACTCTTTGTGCGTTGTAACAGCAGCGACTTCCGTTTCAACGACAACCCGAGTGGTTGCCGAATCGGCAGGCGCTGCGGGGGCGGCGTTGCCTTCGACGTCGCCAGAGGGCGCCTCGACCGGCGCAGCGTTGCCGTCCACTCGATCGGAAGTCGCAGGGAAAATACCGACGCGTACCGAAGAATCGGGGGAGTCTTGCGGGGATAAGGAGAGATTGGAGGGGTACGGTGGGGGTTGATCGTCCATGATGTCCTGGTAAGAGGGCGGGGGGGTTTGTTTTAGAGCCCCGAAAGCCGAAGCGCTCTCCTGATCTCTAAACAGCGAGGGGTAATCCGTCGGTTCGGTGCGATCGGAGCCTTCCCCCGGCAGAATGTAGTGTATGGCGTGGTGCCTGGTTTGCTGCTTGAGCGCCAAGTACTTGTAGCAACGCCAGACGATGCCGATGCAGTACGCCTTCCACATCATCGAGAACAGAAAGGCCGCCAGCACGAGCAGACTCAGGTACTGCGGACTCAACTGCAGCAACTCGTTGCGGAACGGCAGGTTGTGCCAGTGCTCGGCCACCAAGCGGTGCACCGAACGCAAGTAGCAAAAGTATCCGGTTGCCGTCAAGCTAGAAAGAAAAACCGAAAACATTTCATGCGTTTCCAAGTTAAAACAAGGACAAAAAACTCACGTCGTTATGGCGAAATCGAACAGTTGAAGGCAGAAAAACGGCAACAGGTGCGTTGCCTTTCCTTTTATGGCACCATAGACCATCAACAAGGAGATAGAGAGGGTGAAAACCGTCATAAGCGCACCCATGTCGATATCAGCTGCTATTTTAAAATCAATTTAGAAAAAATACAAACAAAAAATACTTTTTAAGAATGATTTTCTTGTTTTCATGTGACGTCACGTGCGAAACTGATTCTATGCTATGCACTAGGGTGGAGCGAAAAAAAAAATTTTTTTTCCTTGGCCTGAAGGTGGAATTTGTAGCCTATAAAAAAAGAAAATTTTTGAAAAAAAAAATTTTTTACTCAACGTCTTGAGGTGGCCCACTGATTTTTTAAATTAAATATAAGTTAAAATTCTTTTGAATATAAAAAAAAAATTTGGCTTGTAATCTTCAAATTTATCTAAAAATAAACAAATTTGACCGTGTTCAACTCAAAATTCGCTCTATTGCCTCAGAAAAGCATGTTACTATTTTGGAATTTTTTTAAAAACAACAATAATGACCAAAAAAATTTTTTTAAGTTCATAACTGTTAATTAGCAAGAAAGAGGACACTCCGCAGTTTCCGGAACACTTTTGAAAAACAATTTTTATTCAAAAGAATTTTAACTTAAATTTAATTTAAAAAATCAGTGGGCCACCTCAAGACGTTGAGTACAAAAAAATTTTTTTTTTCAAAAATTTTCTTTTTTTATAGGCTACAAATTCCACCCCCAGGCTAAGGAAAAAAAATATTATTTTTCGCTCCACCCTACTATGCACTGGTGTTTTACTACGATTTCTTTCCGAAATTATTGTGTTTTTCAAAATATAAGTTATAATAGTTTTTACTGCATTAATTGAACGGCAATAACTATTTACACATAAAAAAAATGTCAAATTCGGTCTAGCGTAATTTTAGTTAATTTGATTAAATAAAAAAATATTTTGAAAAATAATAATAGGGAGGTAGGAAATTTATTGTTGCTTAAAATATGTTACATTAGTATTTGTTACACTTAATAATTGCACCCAGACCGTCCCTATATTTATAAATTTTCGAATATAACGTGAATTTGCAGTGCAAATGACATTTCAACCCAGTTACCCGCCAGCTTTTGGTTCGCACATGACGTCACATGGTAGCTATAACATGCGCATGTTTGTACTATTAAAAATAATACAACCTAATATGCACAATCCACACAACAATATCTGTTCTATCTCGTACTAAAAATACAAAAAATCACTGCAACACTGCACAGTATAACGGCGGCCATTTTTGATGTTTACAATTTTTGTGCTCTCTTTATACAGATTATTAATCGTTTTAAACGTTGTGTTTCTCATAGTAAGCCTTAAAAGAGTCCTTAAAGTGCTAAGAACAACCATTTTACTCCTCTATTGTAAAAAATAAACTTTATTCTATCAGGGCTGTCATAGAACTGTCAAATGTCAATTTTAAGGTTAAATTATAACCCACAAACCTTCAAATTGTCATTTCACAGCCCTGATAGAATAAGGTATATTTATTATAAAAGAGGAGTAAAATGGTTGTCCTTAGCACTTATTAAGGCCTTATTTGCTTACAAGTGCCTCTGTAAGAAACACAACGTTTAAAACAATTATTAAACAGCACAAACACAAAGCACAAGAATTGTAAACAACAAAAATGGCCGCCATTGAATGATGTGCAGTGTTGCAGTGATTTTTAGTATTTTTAGCATGAGAAAACAGACCTTGTTGTGTGGATTGTGCTAATATGATTATTTTATTCAATGCGTTAAAATTTTAACACAATAAAGTACCTAAATAGAGGAAGATACAAATTTTGTAAATTCCATTAAAATCGGACCAAAATTATTCGCGTTTTGGCCAAAAAACGATTTTATTTCGTAATTTGGATTTTTTTAAATTGTTACTTACATGAATAGATTGTCCTGCCATCTTGGGTTGTAGGCAAATAATACGGGTTGTTTTCCTCCTTAACTTTGCTCAATGGAGTGGGCAAAAAGTCCGATTGAGAAAACTCATTGTGCTTTTGCACCATGATGTGATGATTTCTCATCAACAGTGCCAGCACTGTCAAAGCCAACACATGAAGTATCTAAAATATTGTCAAATATTTCAGTTTTTTTTAAACACGCCATTTATTAACTTACCAAATGCCATATTCCCAAGAATATTGTGGCAGTTCTGACATGGAGGCAGAAACAACATCTCCACTCGTTTTGACGAGCTGTTATTTTGATCCTCATTGGAAACATCTAAACAAGGCAATTTTAATTCTCTTAAAATAAGGACTAACCTTGACACTATGTAGTTTTTGGCCCGTTTAAAAAATAATTGGGTACACTTTTTTTTACTATAGGGACCCTACTTTTAATATGATAAAGAAAATCAAAACATGATAAAAAATATCAAGTTATTACCACATATGTTAAAACTCAATTAGATATATAAAAAATAAAGTTATTAAAATAACATTTCAAATCATTAATAAATAAATTTAAACAAATCTATAAAATGATTACATGTGTATATTCAAAACAAATTTAATAAGAATGCGTCACACTAAAATAAAAACTGATAACAAACATATTTAATTCCATTTGATCAATCAAAATGAAATTATGCATGTACCAGCACTATTGCATTTTAATCCATGTAATTTAAAGTGACCATGTTAGATTTAAAACACACGGAAAAACCTTATTTAAAACAATTAAAACGATATAAATCGTTAATAGGAATAAATCCGAAATAAGAAAAGCCTTTAAAGGTCAGAAATATGTTTTCACCACTTCGACCAAAAACCCAACGAATACTTAATGGAATATAAACAAACTCACCTTATCCACACAAAACACGCAAATTATAGCCTTATCAGCTTCATATGCACGGGAAAACGGAAAAAATAATATTTATATTAATTCGCAACTGACAATACGGCTGTCAAAATTAACATTGGTAATTATTCGCTGCCAACCTTAGAAAACAAAAATAAAAAGTGGCGCCTCTAAAGGGGTAACGGTAAACTGATTGTAGGTATGCAAACAAAATCACATAAATTTGATAAATTGGTTGCCTATATATCAAATGACGTTTATGAGTCATTTTAGGTTATGTTTTGTGAATAAACGTCAACAATCCCACAAAAAACGCTAAAAACGCTATAGGATGTTTAATTTTTGGTCCAAACCCGATCCTAAAGGTAAATAATTACATTTGTCACAAGTGTGAGGGGTTGTCATTACATTATAATAATTTGTAGAGGAACAGAGGCAAGTTGATAGAAATTTGAGAAAAGCTGGTAGAGATATCGAACGTGATAGACGCGAGTTGGAAAGGGAGGAGAAGAAGTTGGAGTTGGAAATTAAAAAGGCCGCTAAAGAGGGTAACACTGAAGGATGTCGCCTATTAGCCAAACAATTAATACAACTACGCAAGCAGAAAAACCGTACTTTCCAGGCTGGCAGCAAGGTGCAGGGTATTGCATTTCAAAACAAAGCCATGGGGGCTAACGTGAAGCTAGCCGACGCTATGGGAGTGGCAGGGAAAACCATGTCGGACATGAATAAGCTTATGAAACCTGAGCAGCTTGCTGCAACTGTGAATGCTTTTACCAAGGAGAATATGAAGATGGAGATGACAGACGAGATGATCAACGATACCTTGGATGATATGTTGACTGAATCTGGAGATGAGGAGGAAAGCGACAACATTGTCAGTCAAGTCTTGGACAAGATTGGCATTGAAATCAGCGGAAAGGTATTTAAATCCTATTTAATATTTTAATAAGTTAGCTTTTGGCGTTTTTAAAGGTTTATTGGCAATTTTTTAAGTGTTGACATTACTAAAAAGTACTTTTAAAAAGTATTTTGACATTTTAGAATTTCTTTTTGACATTTTTAAACATGTTTTAAGAATTTTAATTCTTTAAATTATTTTTTTAAGACAAAATCTAAATTATTCTCTTATTTATATAGATGTCTGGTACCTACAGGGTCCCAAAAAATTTAAAAGTATTTTTAGTACCTACATAACCACACTTTTAAATATTCTGGGACACTTAAAATCACTAAAAAGTACTTTTAAAAAGTATTGACATTCTTAAATTTTGACATTTCAGAATTTTTTTGACATTTTTAAATGTTTTATGAATTTTGATTCTTTAAATTTTTTTTAAGACATAAAATCTAAATTATTTTCTTATTTTTTATACCTATATGTCTGGTACTAAAAAGTACTTTTAAAAAGTATTTTGACATTCTTAAATTTTGACATTTCAGAATTTCTTTTTGACATTTTAAAATATATAATAAAAAAGTAGGTACTTTTTAGTACCAGACATCTATAAAAATAGGAAAATAATTTAGATTAATCATTTTGTCTTAACAAAATAATTTAAAGAATTAAAATTCTTAAAACATATTTTAAAATGTCAAAAAGAAATTCTGAAATGTCAAAATTTAAGAATGTCAAAATACTTTTTTATTTTCAGTGTCCCAAAAAATTTAAAAGTATTTTTTAGTACCTACATAACCACACTTTTAAATTTTTTGGGACACTTAAAATAAAAAAGTTATAGGGGGCGACATTATAGGGGATCACCCTGTACCTATTAAAAAGTACTTTTAAAAAGTATTGACATTCTTAAATTTTGACATTTTTAAATGTTTTATGAATTTTGATTCTTTAAATTTTTTTTAAGACAAAAAATCTAAATTATTTTTTTATTTTTTATAGATGTCTGGTACTAAAAAGTACTTTTAAAAAGTATTTTTACATTCTTAAATTTTGACATTTCAGAATTTCTTTTTGGAATTTTTAAACATGTTTTAATAATTTTAATTCTTTAAATTATTTTTTTAAGACATCTAAATTATTTTCTTATTTTTATAGATGTCTGGTGTTCGTGTCCCAACCAATAAAATTGGAGAATCCTCTAAGTCAAATCAATTAACTGATGATGAAATTGAAGCCCAATTGGCAAAATTAAAAGCCTGATTAATAAAAACATTAGTATTATACCTACCCCACAGCTTTATACAACAACATTGTTATATTTTTATAGGTTAGAAAGAAATAAATAAAACTGTTGATTTGTAATTTTATTTACAACTAATTGCAGGTAAAGACGTGGAATGTATCACTTTTATTAATAATGTTGTAATAGTAGCAGTCTGTTGGAGTAAAACCTCGCATTTCCCTTTTATTGGCGCTAAAAATAAAAAACAATCAGGTATGCCAACCACCCAAAAGTAAACGTACCTTTTATTAACTTTTGTTGGTCCCCGGATTTGCGTCCACTTCGAAACTTTATGTTCATTAAAAATCATCAAACCCATGACGGAAACCCACAGGGCAAAAATTAGTGCCTCGTGTCTGTCCTGCCATTTTTCCAAAAATATCTGCGACACGCTCAAAATGTCTGCCGCTTTAGCCGCATCGTTTACATCGCCGAAATATTGCGTGTAATTTTCGAACAGAAACGCGGTAAAATTTCCCGGTTGCGTGCTGAACTCATCGATTAATTTTTCAAAATCGCAGTTTATTCTCAACACACCATCCTCTTCGACTTTTTTCGGATTTAAAACCCTCCCCAACCCGTGAAACAACCCCAAAGTTTCATCTTTAATCATATATTTCACTCTTTTCTCACTTTTAACCCCCCTCTTACGCTTCCCCTTTTTATTATTGCTGGTTTCCATGGGAATGTCATAGCAACCATTCAAACTGGCCATGTGCAATTGGTTCATGGCACTCCTGATGTCCCCCTGACAGGACGCCAAAATCGCTTCAATTGTTTCAGGGGAAACTACTTTGAAGCACTCTGGATTCTTCTGTATAACTTCCATCGCCTTCTTGATGCAAGTTTTTAATATTGTTGTGGCACAAGTGTTAAATCTATGATTAAATTATTATGATTTTTGTTAAATTAACACAATAACTTACTGAATATGTGGTATTTGATATTTAACCATGATTTCTTGCGGAAATAAATTATTTGTTAAGTTTGTGTTGTTGCTGCAACCATCAGTACAAATAAAAACAATGGGGCATCTAGCTTGATAGTAGCACTCTCTAAAAAAACATATTAATTTTTTTTTGTATTTAAAGGTACAAAACTTACTCTAAAACCCTAAAAAACTCATCTGTATTCCTTAGGACAGCATTGGGAAAATCTTTAACAATAGCAATTTTTTTTTGGTTTGGCTCATCAAATAGAGAGACGTATTTTGTTTCAGTGAGAAATTCTATGAATCTGGTAACTTGGTTTGGTCCTCTTGTAATTTCATAATCTTGATCAATAGGATTCACCCATTCTGACACTGTTATATTCATTGATTTGCATAATACGTTTAGTGTGGCCATTTTTCCACAGCCTGTGGGGCCTGACAATAATAAAAACGAAGCATTTGACTGAAAACACCCCAAATTTAATCTAGATTTAGGTACAAAAATATAACATAAATACTTTTTGCTTCTTTTCTAAAACAACCATTTGTAACCATAGTTCCACTTCTTTTATTTTCTTTGGGTGCACAGCCAACTCTTCCACCTTCTTTGGAGCCACAGCTTTATCAAAATTAAAATTTTTCTTCACTACAGACTCAATTTCATTGCAAGATTTCTCTCTCACCAACGTTTTATGAGGCTTTTTAGGCGCCTGATCTTGTTTTTCTTGTTTGGGACCAAAGTCAAAGCTCTTCCACTAAACAAATTAATTAAATTGTTTGAAAAAAATCAAACACAACTCACCCCTTTATTCATGATTCCATCAAAACAAACGCGGCTGATCCATTCAAATTTGACAGATGTCAGCGGTAGTTCAAATGTCCCACACCGATAGATGGCGCTGCAAATTTGTTTGACCATAGACATATTAGAATGGACACGTAATCAAAACGTTCAAATGGGGAAAAAATTATAGTCTGCTTATTTTTTAAGACTTTACTGGTAGGGTTTTTATATTTTTTAAGTAAAAATTTCAATTATTTATTTAACTTCAAATATCTATTTTTAAGGATTTTATGAGCACTGGGGGATATTTTTAAATAATGAAAGGACAAATTCGCACAGAGGGATAAATTTAAAAAAAGGACAGATTGGCATAGTGGGATAAACTTAAAAATAGGAGGAACATCGCACCGTGGGACAAATTTAAAATATGGTAGGAAAAATTCGCACTGTGGGATAAATTTAAAAAATGAAGAGACAAATTCGCATAGTGGGACAAATTTAAAAAATGGTGGTTTAAAAAATGGGAGGACAAATTCGCAGTGTGACATATTTAAAAAATGGTAGGAAAAATTTGCACAGTGGGATAAATTAAAAAATGTAAAAATTTCAATTATTTTAAATTATGTATGGTAATAACTTTTTTAAAACTCCAGAAATTTAATCAACTACAAATATCCATTTTTAAGGATTTTATGAGCAAAGGCTGCGAATATGCGCATATAATATATGATAAAAAAAAGTATATTTATTTTCTTAAATCAATATTAAATATAGATTTTTACCTGGGAAAGTTTATTTCGTCCTCTCGAATCCATAAAAAAGTTATTTAAACATTTTTTCTTAATTGCTTATCTACTATATTACTAAACATAATTAAACCAACATTATCTTTGAAAATATTTATTGTTTAATACATAATATATTATCTATAACACATAAGTATGGTATTCCAACATAATTACTAACTAAATATATAGGCACATGAAAATATTTTTAATGTTTATGGTACCTATATCCATATTTTATAAAATCTTACTTAAATAGCATATAACATAAATTCACTATTCATAGTTCAAGGCATCATATTGAGTTAACAAGAATGTGCAGGAATGATTGGTTATTTTTATACAATGAAATATTTAAAATATAGCAACACTAACAGAAAAAAAACAAATAGATTTCCGTATAATCGTTAATATTAAGTGCATAACAGTTGAAAATAGCTTATTGATCTTTTTTGTGTGTAGCTTGATTATAGCTTGGTGGATTCTCCTAAGGAATAAATATTTATTGATTATTAAAAATTAAAATTGTAAAATTAACTACATACGTAGTAGGCTGGGGGTGGCACATACGCCATCTGTGGTTTGCTAGGATCATAGTAGGCCGACTGGGCTGCCTCAGCCGCCTTAGAGTCTTGAAATAAAAAGGATTCATAGGACACTTGTTTAAATGAGGAATTTTGAAGGAATAAGCGTTTTACCTATACCATGTTTGCGTATTATGGTCGTACATATAATATCCTATAAAATTGATTTTCTTCCAATTTTTTTATATCCACATTTAAACCGAAAATAAAACATATTTTAGAATATCAAAAAAACATGTGTTTTAACATTTTTAAATGCATTTTAGACATTTAGAATAAAATGTAAAAATTTATTCTAAAATTTGTTTTTGTAAAAAAACAAATTTTATAATATACGACTGTATAGAATCAAGTAAGTAAGTCTGGAGACAAGGATGACAAATTATATTCTGATCAGAGAAAAAGAAACAAACTTTAATTGGGCGTGGTTTAAACCAAGCCATTCGTAATTACGAACCATACTTGCCAGGTTGTTTTAAATCAGAAGAGAACGATTATAATTATTTAATAAATAGTTCAATTTTATTTGTTTGAAACTTTAAAAATAACAAAAAAAATAATAATATGTCAAAAATAATTTGATTTAGTTAATTTTCTTATTTTTAATATTAAAAATTAAGAAAAACAACCCTTTTAGGAAACAATAATAGCATATGGCAACAGCGCGGCATGCAGCCAGATACAAGGGCATGCAGTTTGATATCCTTTTTCTATGGTGTCGTAGGGAAATGTGTATAGTTTTTAAGAAATACATTTTCGCCATTAACTGGAATTTAATGGATTTTAAACAATTCTTAGTTTTTATTTGCAGAAATGCGTTAAAACAAAACAAACGAATTCGATAAAAATAAAACCTATAAATTCTCAAACAAAAATAATTCTAAAATAACGAAAATAACTTTTTTTCCAAATTAAATGTTCAAATAGACCACCAGCAGCAGTTAAACAATACCCTAGCCTATCATAAAAATTCCTGCGCACATTAAACAGCATTTCAGGACTAATATCTCCCAATGTATTAAAGATTTACGTACGCAAAGTCTTAGTGCACTTCTTAAACTGACGCACAGACACTGTCAGACAGTGTTGCCAACCTCTTCGAAGATTTTATCGGTAGATTCTTTGGAAAAAATTTCGGTAGGTGATGATCAAATTTCGGTAGATTTAAATATATGTGTAATTTTTAGTTAAAAAACACAGGTTATAGAAAAATATTTATAAAACACACAAAAAAATTAATAGTTTACATAAATTAAAAGAACAAACGCCGTTTACTTTTGCACAAAGTTGAATGTTCTGTACTCTACCAATCTACACAGCAAAAAAGCAAGAATAGAAATCTGTTTATTGTGTCATGGAAATTTGTGATACCGTCGTAGTGCGACTTTTGTACAAATGATGTTGGTAAAATTTTTAATCACATACTAGTGAAAAATATATAATACTGTTGTCTAAGTATAATATTTTTATGCAATTTATTCTAAAAAAAGTTATTTATTTCTATTATTGCATGCAAGATTTAGATTTTCGGTAGAATATTGATGTCTATCGGTAGATCGGTAGAATTTTACAAAAATCGACAATGATACGACAAGCAAACAAATTCAATCCCTACCACAGTGGGCGGGGTTTGGCACTTGTTTTATTTAAGTGTATCTATTTAATACACACAGTATTTTTACATTTTATTGTAAATGTCTAAAATGCATTTTAAAATGTTAAAACACGTTTTAAAAAGGCAGTCTTCATATTTATCCCATCTATTATTGCAAACACTTTCATTAACTTGACCAGTTTACGCGTTAAATCAATGGGGTAGTTAAATTTTTTCTGACCTATACTTTTTATGGTTTTATTCAAGGCGTTTTGTAATTTTAAACATTTCTGTGAAATCGGAATTTCAATTGAGTTTACTGTTTTCGAGATATTTAAAAAAAAAAAATCTCCTAATTACGTCACTAGGCTATTGACAACGTTGCCAGCTTTTTCTATGGTTGTCAGCGTGTTTAGTTTAAGATTCTTACGATAGATGGCGCCACGTTTTAAAACCACTTGATCTATAATTTTAGTTGAGAAGAAGAAGAATTGATTTTTTAACGTTTCTTTTTTTCGGGTTATGTTATTTTTAAATTTAGATTATTGAAAATCAATGTTATTGTTATGTTATTTGTAATTGATATTAGATAAGTGATTTATTAATAACGGACTCCAAAGCAGAGGAGCTTTTAAACAAATAAAGTAAGTACCTATAATTATAATCATATTTTGTCGTAAATGCATTTCATTATATTCAAACAGTAATATGATACCTCGTAATAAGGAAGATAGGTACTTAATGAATTTGGTGACCATCTTTCACTCAACTGACAGTGACATTATTTGTACATAACCTCTTCGGGTATTTTCTGACATAACCGAATGAAATCATTAACAAGACAACTTGACAACAGGGTAATTTTCAACCAATAGAAATCTTAGAATGTTGGTCACATGGCGAGGTTTGTGACGTCATAAAAATTTATATTTTTTGTAAATATCTCGAAAACGGTAAACTCAATTGAAATTCCGATTTCACAGAAACGTTTAATATTACAAAACGCCTTGAACAAAACCATAAAAAGTATAGGTCAGAAAAAATTTAACTACCCCATTAATTTTTGTTTGTTAAATAAAAACTTACCAGCAGGTGCCGTAAACCCTTGCGGATAGCCCTGCGTCTGCGGATAGCCGGGCTGCGGTTGATTCTGATAGCCCTGCGGCCCGACAAACGGCCCCCCGTTCTGGGGATACCCCTGCGGCGGGCCCTGCTGACCGGGCGGCGGCGGCAAGCCGGAGTAGCTGCCCCCCGGATAGCCCTGCGCCGCCGGGTACCCCCCTTGCGGCGGGTACCCCTGCTGCTGCTGCGGCGGATACCCCTGCGGCGGCATCTGCCCCCCCTGGTAGCCCTGCGGCGGCAGCCCGGGGTACGGGGGCGGCGCGTCCGTCATGAAAACGCCGTTCTGGGGCGGCTGATCGGGGAACGTCTGGTAGGGCGGCGTCCAGCCGTAGTAACCCTGCGGGGGCGGCGCGTAGGCGGGGGGCGGCGCCGCGTAGTACTGCGATTGGGGCGGCATGTACGGCGGGGGTGCTTCTCTGAAGCCGCCCCTTGCGACTTCACAAAGAGAAAACAGTTTCATTGATATTTTGTTAATAAATACCCATCATTGTTTCAAAAAAAATTTTTTAAATTAAAATATTATGTGTTGGTACTCGAGATTCATTTATTTTATCTACTCCTATTGCATAATATTGTATTTATAAACATAAACATCATAAATTCCCTGCCTAACGTGAATAATGAACTCATTATCCACGTTGTTAGGCATCAGTGATTGGCCGATTTGAATATTCACTGTGATTTCAACCAATCGGATTTTAAATTGGGAAAAGGCGACTATGATTACATTTAAAATCGGTAAAAAGTGAGGTTAAACACTTGACAGATATTAGATTTTATTTATTTATTTTTAAAAATCATTTAATTAACAACTTATTGGAGTAGATAAAGTATAATATTATACTATTAAATTTTATTTTGTGTTTGAACCCACAAGTTTTATTAGGATTATTTTATGCATAAAGTACAGTTGTACATTAGACTGGGCCAAAAAAATCTACTATTTTTTTTTTGGAAAGTATATCGAAAATATTGTTAAGAGGTCTATCATCGCAATTTTAGATTTTTTTCCTGAGCGAGTTTTTGTCTCAGAACTCCCAAATCATTGAGTTGAACAAAATTGACTTAAGAATATTTTTTGAAGAAAATTGAATGCTCTACAAAAAAGGTTTGATTGGAATTTCCCGTCAGATGAACCCTTTTCTTACAATCATGCCTTAAAAATTGGTATAGTTTTACAATTTGATCTTTTAACTTTGGAATTTTGTAATTCATGTAAAAATCAGTACCCTGAAAAAAACGATAAATATTCTTATGGGAAATCAAATGCTCTACAAAAAGTCTTTAATCATTTTTGGCTAAATTCTCTCCATCAAAAGTTATTCAAGGTTAAATTTGAAGTCAAAACGAAATTTTAACCTTGAATTTAGCCAAAAATGTTAAGATGCTTTTTTTGTAAAGCATTTGATTTCCCATAAGAATATTTATCGGTTTTTTATGGGTACTGATTTTTACATGAATTACAAAATTCCAAAGTTAAAAGATCAAAATGTAAAACTATACCAATTTTTAAGGCATTTAATTTTCTTAAAACAATATTTTTAAGTCAATTTTGTTAAACTCAATGGTTTGGGAGTTCTGAGCCTAAAACTTGCTGAGGAAAAAAAATTAAAATTGCGATGATAGACCTCTTAATATTAATATTATTCACTTTCACAATAATTTTTTTTGTCACCCCAAACCATATTTTTGATATACTTTTCAAAAAAAAAAATAGTTGATTTTTTTTGGCCCAGTCTATTGTACATGTCTTATTAGGTACTTAAATTTAATTTTTTAAGTGGGTGTCAGACAATTTCTCATTCAGTTAAACTTGTAATTTTGTAATATAGTCATTTTACCTTTTTAATAAAAAGCACTTTTAATATATTATACAACAGTTATATTTAATAAAAAAAAAACGTTTTAAAAATTATATTAGCAGTTTTTAAGTTTGTTCTACAAACTACATTGTAATAAAAATACTTACTATCTCCAGAGATATCATCCCTTGTGGCTAAAAAGTTGCAAATCAATCAGTTTTCTCATTATTATTTAAAAATTAGTAAGGTTAAGCAAGGAAAATTATAAAAGTCAAAACAAAGAAATGATAATGAGTCAAATGATCTAACACAAACAAAAACAGTAAAAAACAAGGAAATTACAACAATTGAAATCTTACCAAGATGAGCCACTTTCAGCATAGCCTGCCCAAACTCAATAGCACCTCCGTGTTTGAAAGTCAACTTGAATTTGGCTTCGCCAGTCCAATTTCCATTCGGCTGAGCCCTTACTTTCCCTTTAATGTAATTAGCCCCAAATATTGGTTGTTCAATTTCCACCTAAATAAATACATACAGTAAACATTAAATTATTGCCTCAACTAACCTCGCTTAGAGTGATGAAAGGGAAACTAAATGACTGCATTTCATCGTTGGGGCTTTTGCTGTTAAAAACCAATCGATGAGTTGTCAAGTATATTCTACCGCTTTTGGTACCTTTAAAAGCACCCATATTCTGCCCCGACCACTCTATGGAAACATGCTCGGAAAACAGCAATATCCTAAAACAACCATTTAGCTGCATATTCTAGAATAACATTGATTTAACCACTCACTGTTCCCCTGCATGGATCAGCACGCCGCCGTTCAGGTGGGCCGTGTTTAACGACATTTTAGATGTAAAAATTACACGGAAATTTTTTGCGATGCAAAATTTGCAACTTTATTTTCTATATTGACTTTTTTGACAGGTATGACTAATGTTTAGTCATTTGACATTTCTAAGCGCACTCTGTTGGATGCTAATCGTACTACGAAATACGCAACCCAGGGTACATGAAGTGTATTCTGGCTTGCCTACTGTATAGTCAATTTTTGAGTGAATTTGGAATAAAGAATACAAACAATTTAATTTAAAAACACTTGGATTTATATAAAATATTACGCAAGAGTTAATAGCTAACGCAATGATGCCCATGTTTAAACACTAAACAAACAAACAAACAAATAATACGAGTAGGTAGGTACGACAAGCTTGAAAACACCTTAAAGGGTGGTCTGCAAATTTCATGGTATTTTTTCACAATGTCTTTGCGGCGAAAATCCACCGACAAAGAGGGTTAAATAATTGAAAACCACATGGAACTTTTTCCTGAAATGATAGCTATATTTATTTCCGACAAAAATTAAGGGTGTTTGCCATATGTTGCGAATAATCAAAAGATTATATAATATATTAAAAAAATAACATAAAAACCTAATGTAAAAACAGTTTAGCGTGACATCCGTTTCGGCAACTACAGACCGCAAAAGGGTGTAGGTAATAAAAAATACCATGGAAATTGCCGACCACCCTTTAGGTGTTATTTTCTTTGACATTTTTATGTTCAACAATTTTTAATTTATAAATTTAATTAGTTAAACCTAGAGGTACATACAAAACATAAACAGATTACATAAAAATCAACTTTTACTAGGTATACATTGACAAGACAAACAGGGGTTCTTTATGGACCACCTTTGTTGAAGTATTTACTTTAAAGACACACAAAAAAGGTAAATACTGTAAATTAGCCTGAAATTTGCGGGCACACCTTTAGGGTGGTCTTTTGTGTCAAAATTGTACAAAACAAGTAAACGAACACACTATCTGACTTCTCCCAAAGGTGGTCCAGTTATTAAGAAAAGACGCCCAGCATCCATTGAATTCGTTTATAATGGTAACGCTGCACGTTACTTTTGATTGGATTTTAATTTTTTTCTCTTTGTAGCGCGACTTGTTACCGAATAATCGACTTCATACTGTTCGGATCAGCCCCCTATCGGGAATAAAAGCACTAATTTTATAGTGAAAGGTTTTCAGTTTTTGTTTAGCTCGTTTTAATTACGTTTATACTTTTGTAATCAAAAGAAGCTTCCTTTAATTAAAATCTTGATTTGAGGTTATAATACAAAAGTCGAATTAAGCATTGGGTGCCTACAGAGTTATTCAAATTATTACACACCTTAATTTAAAACTATTTTTTTGTTTATTCTATTTTCTGATTATGTTTGACTTTTTGTGTTTCTAAGAATAGTTGGGTTGGAATAAAAATAAACAAATATTAAATTTTGTTCTTACTTTAGCTTTAGATTTATATTATATTTCAAATCACATACTTAAGTTGACATTTTTCGGGATCACAAATATTTAGGATCGTTATCTGCTCGCGCTTGTATTTAAAAACGTTTCCTAGAATTAAGATAGCGGCTAAAACAAAAAACGACGCGTTTTAAAATTCAACGCAGGGTTCTCTTGAAAGAACCCGCTCACAAACAGTGTGACAAAATCAAGATAAAAACAAAACGTTATAAAATACTGAATTGGGACACAACCAGATGGGGTGAAGAGGTAAACTCTTTAATAACATATAACAACATCAGAATCCATATTTCTTGACAGTTGACGTCCTAATTGTATAATTACATGGCTAATGCTTAAACTATACCTAACATTTAACGCGTTTTAGAACTAAGGTTTATACCAAAATTATCTAGGTAACAAAATTACTGTAAAGTAGTTTTTTATAATAGTGATTGATGGTGCGGTTTTATAGACTCGTGTCAAAATAATTTATATGGATTTATGGGAAATTAAAAATTAAAAATAAATGATAATGTTAATGTAACAAAAAATTTTGTTGGTTCTTGGGTCGATTTCAAAAAACACCCGCCTTCCGCTGTCCGTAAGTTTGAATTCCAATAACTTTGTTAAAAATTATCGGATCTTATTGATTTAACAACCAAGTGAAAGCCTAACAAGCCCTTAGTAAACTCTTTCAGAAAATGTTTGTTTAGTACTAATAACGTTATTTCAGATTATTTTTTTTTTTTAATTTTGAAACTTGTGAAACTTTAAATATTGAATAACCAGAACTTTGTGTTGCTTTATAGCAATCCATAACATCCTTAGTTAATAAAGTAAACAATTTATATATAAAATAATTAATTTTAATATACTTTTTTTAAATTTGACTCATGTCCCAGACACTTTTTCCGTTGCGTTCCGTCCGTCGCGTTACCGTAGAATATTAAAAAAAAAACATATATGGCAACTTTTTTGGCACTCACGTGATCAACAAATGATGTTCGGACGTACACATTACCCAGCTAAATTTTTTTATTCAATCAGGAAGAAGATATCGGTTGAAACAGGTGCGGGTAACGCGAATGTAATAATTGTTTGTCCGCTAAGTTACTCAAAAAAATAATAAAAATAAGGTAAGAAAAAATACTATTTTTTATGTTTATGTTTATTTTAGGGCACCAAAGCTCATTGAGAGTAATTAATGACTGTAATGTCTTATTATTATTTTTTAAATATGGTTTCACAAAACTTTGTCCACTGCGTTACCGAGTCCATTATGTAACCTTATGGTAACGCAATGGAATTTAGGGTAACGCAATAGAATTTTTCGACAACAAAGTGGATATTACCGTCGCTTTTATTAAAAGTAGTTTATGATAAACCAATTTAAAATTATTTGTGATTAGATAGATTACATCCAAGGGAAAATTCCACGCAATATACAAGTACTAAAAGACACCACCTTATAGTCAAAGAAAAAGGGTGTCTATAATTTAGAAATCTAAGTTGTTATTCTGCAAATGAGCACCACAACAAGGGATTTTGTTTATGCATTACTCTAAAATCGTACCACCCTTTAAAGTTTCTTTTTTACGTTTTGTGTATCCCAGTCCGTTGTGATACCAATGTTTATTTCGTTACTTTTTTTTGTTAAAAAATACTTAAAATGATTTTTATACACTATCACTTGGTATACCATTATAATAGGTGTTTATAAATTAGAGTTTAACTCACTAATACAGTGACTAAAAGAAAATATTAATGGTATTGTTTTTTTAACAAAGAATCGGAATGGTTTCTTTTAAAAAGTAACTTAACATACATATTTAAAAAAGCATACAATAAAAAATTGGAGTCAAAAGTTTGTGAACTTTTATTTCAAATTATTTTTATAAAAACTTTTTTTATTGAATTAAATTTTGGATTTCAAATTGGTAACACAGTGGAGATATATAAAGCTAGCTAAACACATTTTTCTGAAAAAAACGTAAAAAAAATTAAAAATTGCACTGCCTGTCTTAAATGTAAGTAAACAAAACTTTAAACATTTATAAAAATCCAACCAAAAGTCAATTTAAGCAAAAAAAAATTTTGATCTTCATTTTCCTGAAAGCGGGTGTTTCTTGAAATTTACCCATTTACACCACTTCAGTTAACAATAGCCGAAATCATTATTTATTTAAAAACATTTTAATGACATATGTTGGCAGATGCTCCTATTTCGTTTTTATTTTAAAACTCAGTAGATATCCCTTGAAGACGTCTGGAAGATTTGAAATATATTTAGTGTTTTTATTGTTCATGGTATTAGCCTATAATAGAGGTAATAATGGGCCTCCTGTGGTAGGGTACGACCACCTAAAGTGCAAAGAAATCGGTAAAGAGCATCAAACATTCCTTTAGATCTTGAAAATGACTTGCATGAGCATCTGCGTAGGAGGCATTTAATTATAAAGTGGAAAGGTCAACCCTTATATTTTCGTTTTTCAGTTTGTTTAAAACTTTATATAAAAATTGTTTTTGTATAACCTTGAATATAAACCAAACCAAGGTAACTTATTTCGGATTGTCATCTTGGCTTTAAAAAATGTTGATACCATAATCCTCTTTAAAGCTTTGGACCCTTTCAATCTGTAAAAAATTGGGATTTTAAAGATTACTACCGTCTGCCACTGCCGTTCATCATAACATTAAAAAGTATTATTATTTTTTATTTTTCATCTGATTGTTGCCTAAGCCTAAGCCTTTATTATTGTTGTTTCTTTTCTACAAACGGCGTCTCTACTAATAGAGATGTTGAGTTTTGATTAATTATTTAAGTTGTTCGACTATTAATCAAGAAATTTTTAACTGTGATAACGTTTATTAATTTAATAAAAAATTACCATGGACGATTAAAAATTTACTTAACGGCTAGATTAATCATAGATAATTATTACAACTCAAGCGAATTTTGGTTCTCACAGAGTACTGTAATTTTCATCAACTATGTAAATGCAAAAAATAAGATAAATTACACAATTTATACAGACGAAAATGTTTCAAGATTTTTTATATTTGGTTGTTTCACTGTTAGTCTAGAATGGGGTTTTGGGAAGCCACCAGGTCTAGTAATAACATAACATAAGTGGTTCTGCGCTAATGCAAGAATTTTAAGAAATCATGCATTTTGAATATTAGAGCTTCACGGAAGATAGCTTCACGGAGGTTAGGATTTCGTATGTTTTTTTAAACATCCCTTTGTATATTTGAAATAAGTTATTGTATCTTTTGACACCTTAATATTTTTTAAAAATACATAAAATATTTATAAAAAAATCTACTTACTGAGATATTACACTTCACGGTGGATAGGTTTTTAAATAGAAAATTAATAAACTTAAACTTTTGAATTATAAAACAGCAACACTCTGATCTGCATATAAATTTTAACTGACCTTTAGAAATCACATGCATCTATAATGTCGTAAACAGAGGTTTTTGCTTATTTAAAATGATTAAAGCGCCATCCGTTGCATAAAATTTAAAGCAAAAACAGATTCACGGAGGATAGAAGCGATTTTTGTAACACCTTCATAAATGGTTATAAAAATTATTTCTTTTAATTTTTAATAATATTTTATATTTGATTCAATTGCTTTGGATGTGTTTAATTTACT